GAAACTACAATTAATAGACATTTAAAGTTTTCATTTGTATATATAGCAACTAACATTTTTTTGAAATGAGAGTTTTTCAAACATGGAGTTGTCACCTAGTACAAAAACTATAGCAAAGATTGGAAAAAAAGAAGAAGCTCCAATTACAAAACGACCATTAACACAAATTGAATTGAAAATGGAAATGAGCTTGAACTAAAAAATAATAGAAGGATGAAATTGATTTCTAAAGTGCTATATGCTTTTTCAATTGATAGGATAAAAGGAAAAACACCAGGAAATCATTCCCTTTTGAACTTTTTTTTTTCAAAGCTAGGAAATTAAATCATTATTTACATCTATCTAGATTGTGACACCAACAGAAACAACTATATAGATTAATCTAGCTTCATTAAAGCCCTTCCTCCTTAAAAAAATGCTTTGATATATATATATATATATATATATTAGTTTTCAGCCACGTGTTATGCATGTGATAGCCACAATGTATATTAGATGATATAATTTGTAAGATAGAGAAAGAAAATAAGAAGAAGTTTAAGTGTAGACTACTTAAAAAACAATGAGTAAATGTTCTTAATTTATTATCCATAGTATAACATGTAATAATAACTTAAATTTAAAATCATAACTTATTATGCTAATGCAAGCATCAAAACTAAATTAAATAAATATATACAATATATATTAAGTCAATATTTCTGAGAGTTAATGTCATGAATGGTGCTTTAAAATAGCAAAATATTCAATATTGTACCTAAATTTTAAAAATTTTTAATATGTATATAAACTATGAATTTGTTAACTAATGTGTTACTTGGAGGATTATCTATTCACCACATGTCATCATTTGAAACTAATTACGTTATGGGTGAATACTACTTTAATTAACAGATTCAAAGTTCAAATATAATATTAAGAATTTGTAAAGTTAAGGTATCATATTGATTACTTCACTATAAATTATGGGTCATTCATAATATTATCCCAAACTTAAATTAAATATAAATAATTTTGTCACTTATTTTAAATTTTGATTTAATTAAAAATTAATATAATATACATAATTATAAAAATAAACTAACTTAAGTTAATTTAAATTGATTTTAAAAAATCAACTTAGTCATTATTTAAAAATCGAAATGATTGAACAAAACATTATTTAAAAATTTCTTCTTCATCTTTTGTAAAAATTTAAAATTTTCTTATTTAAGCTTTTTTTTTTTTTTTTTGCTTCATCTTTATTGTCTTATATCTTTTTTTATTGTCTTTATGGTTAAATTAGTTATCAAAGTTATATTATAAATAACCACAATTGTATTAAATAATAAAAAATTATATCAAGATAACTAAAATTTTGTCAAAAATTATCAGGTTTATATTAATAGTTACCAAAATTGTATTATAAATTACCAAGATAATATCAAAGGTTACCAAATTTGTATTATAGATTACCAACTTTTATTATAATAAAACCTACTTAATAGATTCAACAATTTCATTTAAGGAAACTTTTATAATTTAATTATATTAATCTTATAATTTTTCATTTTTATTATTTGTTCTTTCTTTTCTAACTTTAATTAATGTTAAATCCTAATAAAATCACATTTTACTCTTAAAAAATAATTAAGGAAAATATTCATTCAATATTTAATTTTCAACAACATACCAAATGATATTTTAGTATAAATTTATTTTAAAAATTAAAATTTTCTCACTTAAATTTTCAATATTTAATTTTTCGGTTTATCAAACAATACCAAGTCATTATATTTGTGCACTTGGAAATTTCTTATTTGATTTTCTTTTTCTTTTTGCTAAACTTCTTTTCTATAAAATTTTTTTCTTCCCATTACTTATAAAAAATTTGTAGTAAAATAAGCTAATCTTACTCCATCTTAATAACCTAAAAAATATTACTAACTATTTTTAATGTCAATAATGTTTTTGAAGACACTTTATTTTGTTTGAAAATTTTTTCGAAAATCATTAGGCTTCAAATTTTGATTTGAGTGCAATTAAATCTTAATAAAAAAAGTGAATTTTGGTCCCAATGATTATAAGTCCAAAATTTTTAATTTTTAATTTTAATTTTGATTTTGATTTTTTATTTTGATTTTAGTTTTGATCTTGATTTTAATTTTGATTTTAATTTTAATTTTAATTTTAATTTTTTTTAAGTTTAGTCAAAACCAAAGTTAGAGAAAAAGTCAAGAAAAGAAAAGAAAGAAAAAAAAAAACATGGGATTTTTGTAAAAAGGAAATTTATAGATTCATGTTTTGGGATCTTAATGAATGTTAAGAATCTAAGAACCAATTGTTTATGGAAATTCTTGGGCTGCAATTCATTGAAAAAGGAAAATTATACAAAGAATGAATTTAGGCAGATTTTGCTAGATTCATTAGGACTTGAATATTTTCAAATTCAAATGGATTTAATCCCTATATAAATAACCCCAATCTGTAATCACAACACACAAGAAGCAATTGATAAACAAGCATACATAGCAAGCAATATGCAATCAATCAAAGCACTTGACAACGTGCTTTAGGTTCTTTTTGCAATTTTTGGGTTTACTTAATTTTTGGTTTAGTTATTTGAGTTTGATTTTTGAATTATGGGTTTTTCTAGAATTGAGATTGAATTTCTGGGGTTGTGTTTAAATTTTTGGGTTCTGGGTTTTGTTTCGAATTTCTTATATTGATTTGAGTTATGGGTTTGCTAGGATTTTTCTAAAATTTAGGGTTGAGTTTTTGGGAGTTTGAATTTTCTGACAAAAGTTTAAGTTTTTTTATGGGGTCTACAGTAGGTGGTTGAAATTTGGGTTTTTTTGGCTAGTTTCTAGGATTGCTTGAATTTCACGATGGTTTTTTTTTTAGAAAAAGGTAGAAGAAGGAAGCTTAAAGAAAGAAACAAAAGGGTGATTATGAGGAAAACGTTTGAAATTTGGCTTTTATAACAGGTGCGGAACAACGTTACTTAGAGAAGCCTAGGATCCACTTTGACTTGCGTGAGATCTACACGCTGACTCGCCTCGGACTCGAGCCAAATCACAAGTTTCCTTTTTTCTTTTTTCTTTTATTTTTTTATATTGATTTTGATTTTATTTTTTGGCTTTATTATTATTATTATTATTATTATGTTTTTTCTTTTGTTTTTATTTTATCTTTTTATTTATCATTTTAATTGTGTGATTGAATTAAATTGATGAAGAAAATAAAAAAAAATTGGTAAGATTATATAATTTATTTGCATGATGGTTTATTTTTTCTTCTATCTTTTTGTTTATCGTTTTTATTATTATTATTGTTATTATTCTATATGGTATTTATTTCTGCATGAATTTAATTTAATTGCATGAATAATATTAATATGTTATATATTTGCATGATTATTAATATATTGGCATTATATATTTGCATGATATTTTGCATGGGTCTAATTTAATTGCATGATTTATTATATATTACTACATGATTATTTTTGCATAATTTATTATATTTTCTTTAATTTTTGCATGATTAATTGCATGATTTTTTTTATATTTATTGGCTAATATCTTTGCATAACTTTTTATATGATTTTATATTGGCATGATATTTATTATGGTATTGCATGTTTTGCATGATATTATTTGCATTATTTGATTTTGATAAAATTTTTGTATGACAATATTATATAAATAAATAAAAGAATCAAAATTCATTAATTTGCTTAAAAAATCATATTACGTAATTGACTTTCAAATTTAGTTATATTGATAAAAACCAGAACTTAATTTTTTTAGAGATTTTTAGTCAAGTTTGGAATAATCTTAAAAAGGATAGATTCACATAAATGATCAATCACATTTAAATAAAAAAGATTAATGGTGATTATATTTTTTATGTCTAATGTGTAAGTTCTCAAATTTGAACATTATAATAATTTTAATTTATGACTCTTTGCAATTGTTTCCAATTCAATTTAGATAAATGTGTTCTTTAACATTTGTATAAAAGTAAGCAGATTTTAGAATGAACCTAAATGAGAAAATTAGCATTTTTATTTGTATGGATGTATATAAATTAGCATTGATATGTATCAATAAATAATAAATCTTTACCTAATTTTTAGTTTCTTTCCAAATTCTTTACCTCAAGTTAATGTTGTAAAATTGAAAATTAATTAAATTTTCTAATACTTTAATTTCTTTGACGTGTGTGATAACTTATTTAAGGAAACCAATTAATGGAATATTTTTATGGAAAAAATTTGAAAAATATAATGTAGATAAAACATTTTTAGTATATTCAACTATGTTATTTAAGGAAATTTTTATAATTTAATTACACTAATGTTATAATTTTCCATTTAATTATGTGTTATTTCTTTTCTAATTTTAATTAATATTTTTCAAAGGAAATTTAATTAATGTCAAATCCTAATAAAATCAAAATTTACTTTTACAAAAAAATTAAAGATAATATCTATTCAATATTTAATTTTCAACAATATACCAAATGATAATTTAGTATGAATTTATTTTCAAAATAAAAAATTTTACACTTAATTTTTTGATATTAAAATTTTCAATTTAACAAACAATACCAAATCTCTTTTGAAATTATTTATTATTTTTTTCACTTAACTTCCTTTTCTTTACAATTTTTTTCCCCACGCTTAGCTTCCAATGTATTTGGCTTTTTTAAAAAAATTCTTATTTCGAGTTCTTATTTTTATGCTTTCATGAAAACTCTTTTATAATTGAAAATGTTTGTATACATACAAACCAATATATATTAATTACATATTAGCCTTTATAAAAGCATTTAATGCAACAAGTACATTAATGTTGATGAAAAGAAATTGCTTAAGTAATTAACTTAATTGTTTTAAGAAACAAATTTTTAGTAAACGGACTTTCACTAACCAATAACCAGGTTACAATCAGTTTGAATAATAGGTAAAAGAAAATCGGGGCTATCTTCTACCTAATAGGTATTCTCCTCTAAACTTAATCCATATTTGGCCATGGCATAGGCTGCTTAATTCCCTCCTTTTCTAGTATGGACTGCATGACATGACTAGAATAGATTCATCACTACCTGTTCTTCCTCAATTATAACATCGATCGCAGACAGGTTTGCTCCGGGCTGTTTAGTTGTTGTATAACCTCTAATGCATCTCTTTCTAACAATATCCTTGCGAGTCCCAGATCTCTAGCAAACTTGAGAACTTCCAGTGCTACTTTTCCTTCAATCATCCATGGATATGCTATCTCTATTCTTTTCATTGACAACGTTCCAAGGACCGTTCCGTCAACATCCCTGACAACCAACCCAATCCCTCCTTCTCCAGTATCCCTATTATAGGAACCATCAAAATTTACCTTGGCCGAGCTACTGGGTGGTGGTCTCCATATCACTAGTCCTCCCTGCACGCCCATATCTCGTTTTTCTTGCGCATTCATGAACTCTTCCCTGTATGATCTTACGAAGGTGGCTGTTTGGGCTGCACTTAACTTTTTTCCCCCATAAAACTCCTCATTCCTCCCACTCCAAATCACCCATGCGGCTATCAAGAAAGTCTCAAATCTGTCTTGGGAGAAGTTGTCCACCACTTTGTCAAACCATTCGGCTAAAGGCAATGCTGAATATATTTCCTTGTCCCATTTAAACCCTAGTATATGCCATACCTCCCTAACGTTGTTACAGTCTCTGATTACATGTAGGAGAGATTCTTCCTTTGTGCTACTTCTCGGGCAGTTTCCTTTAAGAGCGACTCTCCTTCGAACTAGATTTTGCATGGTTGGCAGTATGTTATGTTTCAGCCTCCACGCAAAAACCTTGATCTTACTGGGTATGTTAGCACTTCATATCTTCTTCCATCAGTGTTTGCTTAGATTCTCTCTTGGTCCCGCCTTTTCTTTGACAGCTCCTTGATTGGTCAAAACGTTGTAGCCACATTTTATTGTATAGGTGCCTTGTGTGTTTCCATATAGTTGTGTCAGGGCTTTCTATCTTGCTTATAGGGGTTGCTCGAATGGCAGCAACTTTCTCAGGACTAAACATCCTTTCTAGCACGTCTACCCTTCATTCTTCCAGCTCGTTATCAATCAAGTCGCTTACACTACTATCTTCCCCCAGATCATCCCGTATTGATAGTGGTGTACACTCCCCATTAATGTTAAGCCATGCCCTACTCTCCATCTAATCCTTTCTTTTAGAATCTTCAAAGCACTCCATATACTCCGTCACGTTAAGAATAGATTATTCCCTAACTCTACTTCCAAGAGATTTCCATTGGGAAAGTTTTTTGCTTGTAAAACACTCTTAGCCAATGAGGATGAAGTTTTCAGCAATCTCCACCCCTGTTTACAAAGCAAAGCCTGGTTAAACATTCCTATATTGTTGAACCCCAACCTTCCCTTTTTTTTTTTTTTGGAAATTCATAGCTTCCCCCATCCTTACCAATGAATTCCCGGCTTGTTTTTGTTATGGCTCCACCAATATTTGCTAAGCAAGCCATCAATTTTTAAACAAAGTGTCTTTGGCAACTTAAAACAGTTCATTGCTTAAGTGGGCATAGCTTGTAGGATAGCTTTTATGAAAATTTCTTTACCACATTGTGATAGCATTCTCGATGTTCCTCCTTGTATCCTTTTCATGATTCTATCTTTCGTCTCCCTAAAAGCTTTTTTCTTCCCACTTACCTATCATAATTGGTAGACCCAGATATTTCTTTGGATTTGATAAAGTCTGTATGCCGAACACCTCTATCACCTCCTCTTTTGGCCTTTGACTAGTGTTGCTACTGAAAGAAAAAATGGATTTTTTTAAATTTATCATTTGGCCGGACCCATCTTGGTATATCTGTAGCATGCCCTTCACTCTTTCGCTTTCTTCCCTGTTCGCCTTAGCAAACAGCCTACTAACGTCTGTGAAAAAAAGTGAGTAATCCTAGGTCCATATTGGCTAGCACGCACACCTGTTATCTATCTGTTTCTCTTGCAGTTTGTTAGCAAAGCCGCTAAACCCTCCGAGCAAATAAGAAAGAGGTAAGGTGAAAGTGGACCTGCCTCAATCCTCTCTAGACAAAAACTATCAGTGATGTGACCATTAACCACAATAGAATAGGAAATTGAAGAGAGGCATTTCATAACAAGATCCACACATTTATCCCGAAAGCCTAACTTAGTCATCATGGCTCTTAGGAAATTCTACTCTAGTTTATCATATGCCTTGCTTATTTCTAATTTAATGCAAAAGACCCATCATACCCTCTTTTCTTAGATTTTAGAGTATGAAGCAATTCGTAGGCAACTAAAACATTATTAGTAATCAATCTTCCAGGAACAAAGGCACTTTGTGACTCATTTATACAGGCAGGTAAGACAAACTTAACCCTATTTGCAATGGTTTTTGCAATAATTTTGTACACTACATTACAAAGGCTTATTGGACGAAACTGGGATATAAGCGATGGGGATTTCGCTTTTGGTAGTGCAATTTTTATTATATAAAGTTTCGTTGCCATTTAAAATAGCCATGCAAAAGGAAACAATGTCATGTCCTATGATATGCCAATATTTTTGGTAAAAGAAAATAAACATACCATTAGGTCCTGGCGCTTTAGTGGGATGCATTTACTTTTAAGGCTCTCACAATCTCCTCTGCACTAAATTCTACTGAAAGTAGATTATTCGTCTTGTCTATTGCACGGGTTTCAACAGTTTCCAGGATGTCTTCAAATTGGTAGGTTCGTTGTGAAGTGAATAACTGCCTAAAATATTCCAATGCAATATCTTGAATCTCATTTTTCTCCTCCCTCCAAACCCCATTTGAATCCATCAGTCCCTTTATAGAATTTTGCCTTTTCTTTATTGAAGCTTGTGCATAAAACTATCCAATGTTTTTGTCCCCCTCCTTTAGCCAATGCACTCTTGCCCTCGATATCCAGCAAGCTTTTTCCTCCTCGAAAAGCATATTAATTCTTTCCTTTGTCTTCCTTTCACATGCAAGGTCTACATTTGTAGGCCTTCCATCTCGGCATATGCCCAACTCCTTATATAGTTCAGCTATCTCGTTTTCCTACCTTGAAACCTTCCATTCTGCCACGCCATTAAAGCGTTCCCTACCTTTGCAATTTTCCTTTCCATATCCACATGACAGCCATCGAACTAGCTGTCTTTTATAGCCTCTTTCACAACTGTCTTTTTTGGACCCCCATATTTCAAAGAATTTTTTCTTCATCCTGTCACCCTTTTTGTTTTTATGCTTGTGTCCCTCAGTGTCGTCCAGCAGAGGGCAGTGACCTGAGACCAGTCCTGCCAAATGTTTCACCATTTATTATGGAAACTTCATGCACCACTGTTCATTTGCTAGAGCTCGATTAAGCCTTTCCCTTATTAGAGTGTCAGTATCCCTTCCTCTCTCCCATGTGTACCAGCTGCCTATGAACCCCAGATCCATTAAATCGCATTCATCCATTGTCTGTCTGAAAATCTCCATTTGTTGTTCTAGCCGTAACCTTCCCCACTCTTTTCGTGACTCCACATTATTTCGTTTGAGTCTCCAAAGCATATGCATGGCTTCTCCGACTATTATGAAAGCCTTCGAATCAAGTCCCATGATTCACTTCTTCGGCTAGTTTGTGGAACCCCGTAAAAATCGATAATTCTCCATTGATCTTCTTCTCCCATTTCCTCAACCAACATGTCAATATGATTTATTGAATAGCGTAATAATATTAATGGCAATTCCTCCTTCCACACTATCATTAGGCCACCACTTCTCCTCTCCGAGCTAACCCTAAAACATGCATTATTCCATATTTTCTCCTAATATACTCAACCTTATTTGCATGCAACTTTGTTTCAGAGAGAAACAGCGCATGGGGATCTTTTTTTTTTTTTTATTAGCTCTCTTAGAGCACGAACTGCACGTGGGTTTCCAAGCTCACGGTACTACCAAGCCATACGCCTCATTATGTCCAGAGGGACTGGAGGGCAGTATTCGCCGATATCTCTGTACTTCTTTGGCATCCATCTTGGTCACATTTAGTTCTCTTCCCTTGTCCATCTATTTCAATTTCACTGCTCTGTGCACTCTCATCTCTGTTCTTCCTCTTAGCTATTTTGTCTTCCGTATCTTGCTTTGCACCAGCATTCCTTGCTTTTCTTTTTCAGGTTGTCTTTTGGCTATGACCGTTGTGTAGTGGGGTCGTGCTATCTGTTGTTCTATGCAGGCCACAATGTTTTCTTTTTCCACATATACATCCTTCTCCCCTTTCCCCATATTAAATTTCCTCATTGTCTCATTCATCAGACCTTCAATGTTGGGATGTTCCACATTTATTTCAGCCCATGTATTTGTGCCCATTGACAACTCAGCCATATCCTGCTTAGATTTTGCTCCCTCATTCTGGCCATTTTCTTTGCCAATTATGTGTCTTGATTGAACGCTTTCCACGAAAAGCCTCATGTTTGCAGAATTATTGCTTCCTTCGGTCATAGCCCTGCTTTCCTATTCCAGCCTCCATGCTTCCACCATGGATCTTGTCTTTTCCGTTTGCTCAACCCGTCCTCCCTGCCAGTTTTTTCCTTAACATGCTATTTTTTCTTGTTCTTTTCGCTCCATCTGTAATTTTGAAATCCCTTTTTCAGTGGTGATACCTTCATCCAATCCCCATATTGCTTTGGACCACTTATTTCCTTCCTTTTTGATTCTTCAGATTCACATTCAAATTCCCCATGCCCTAAACATCCACATATATAACAGAACGTTGGTAATCTCTCATATTCAAGCCCTCCTCTTATTGCATTACATAATTCTCCTCTCGATAGTGTGACCAAGCGACTTAAGGGTTTATGAACATCCACTTCGACCTCAACCCTTAAATATCTTGCCTATCCATGTTGTTTATTGTCAACTTCCTTAAAAACACCATTCTTATTCCCAAGTTTCTCAGCCATGCTCTCATTCATCATAATTCTCCATTAGAAGCAACTGCTTGTCAAATGACCATAGACTGCCGTCTATCACTCTTTCTTTGTCCTTCTTTGTTGCAAAGTTAAATAAGAGGAGATTGTTTTCTAGGTATACCACCTGCATTTCCTTGGCAAGTCTCCATATCACTTTGAACATCCCCACCATCGCATCTCTGTTAAAAGTCCTTTTTGTCATTACTTTCCCAACCACCCATTTCTCTTCCTCCCCTCCCACTGTTGATCCTTGACCCTTTTTATAGTCAACGTTGTCCTTCCTCCTTTGTCAATTTGAGGTGTTTCCAGATACCTTCAAAGTCGTCAGCCATGTGACCCTCTTCTGCCTTGTCTCCCTCTACCACTAAGAGACCCACCACCCACACAAACTACTTCTCTATAATAACACTAGTGAAGGAGATCTTTACTCACCGGCGGCTACTCAAGTAAACTTCCTGTCAACTGAGTTGAAACCTTGGTAACACACGTAAACTCCTAAAACTCCTCTCACAGAAACCCAGTTTTTGGAGAGACTCATAAAATTCTCTTTTAATAACAGTAAAAATTGTTTGTTAAAGTTCGAATATTTCTACGAGTATTAGTAACTAGAGTTAAATAACAATAGCTCATCAAATAAATACTCTAGTATATTAAAAAATATATTTTGAAGAGTATCATATCAAAAAGATATTTTTGAAAAATTTAATATAAAAAGAAGCATTAATTACCTTTTCCTTCCATGTATGGTTGCAACCATGAATGATTTTTTAAAATTTGCTTTTATATTTGTTCTATATTTTTGTAGAATATATTTTATATTAACTATAGTTAATATTCATTTGTTTATATATCATTTTTTTTTTTTACAAAATTTCTAATGAATATTCGATTGTCGTGATAGTACATTAAATATGTATTTTTAATTAATTAGAGCCATCAATATGAAACTTCTATTCAAAGCAACATTATACATAAAATGTTTTTATTCTTACAGGAGGAGAGGAGACCTGGACTTAAGATGAATCAAAGGTTAAACACATACATAAGATATCTAGAATTAGATATCAATGTTGATATGAACCTGAAAATCCTATCCAACCCAACTTGATTTGACCAAAAAAAATCAATAAACCAAATCCAAAATAATCCAAACCCTAATTAATCAAAATTTGAAATAATCTAAATTTGTACGACTGAAAAGAAATGATCCAAAATAAAATTGATTTAATTTAAAGAGCAACAATTTGGATTCTAAATAATCAAAACCTAATGACTCGATCTCAAAAAATCTTAATGTCAAACCTAAAAAGCTCAAAGTTCAAATGACTTGAACTCAAAATAATTCAAATTCAAATAACTTAGATATAAAACAATCCAAATTTTCCTTAACCCATTAAATTAAAATGGCCAACATAATAAAAAGCTTATGAATTTTATTATTTTACTTAAATAAACTCTTATATTTTATTGTATTCAGATTAATCATCGATCTTTAATTTCCACTTAAATAAATTTTAAACTTATAAATTGTATCCAAATAAGCTATAACTTTTAATTTATATCTAAATAAACCCTTAATATAAATCGATCTTTTATTTGAAATAAATGTTTATTTGAATACAAATAAAATAATAAGAACTTATTTATATAATAAAATATAAGATTTTATCTAAATAAAAATAATAAAGTTCAATGGCTTTGTTTAATACTTTAGCCAAAATAATTCAAATTCGAAATAACTTAAATCTAAAACAATCCAAAATTTCCTTAACCCAATAAATTAAAATGGCTAACATAATAAAAAGCTCATGAATTTTATTACTTTATTTAGATAAACTCTTATATTTTATTGCATCCAAATTAGTCATCGATCTTTAATTTACACCTAAATAAATTTTAAATTTATAATTTGTATCTAAATAAGTTATAACTTTTAATTTATATATAATTAAACCCTTAACATAAATCGATTTTTTATTTGAAATAAGGGTTTATTGGAATACAAACAAAAGAATAAGAACTTATTTATATATAATAAAATATAAGATTTTATCTAGATAAAAATAATAAAGTTCAATGGTTTTTTTTTTAATATTTTAGCCTATATAAAATTCATTAATGCAGTTATAATATGTGAAAACATACATGATTACACACTATCAAATGCAAAGTTTCACTCCTTTAGGATCCAGTGTCCCCGGTTCCATTCTTTTTAATTGTCTTCTGTCTATTTTCCTATGCACTTAGTCTTTCTCATTCTACTTATGTTATCCAAACGATAGATGAAACATATCATGTATGCATCACAGTAATCAATTCAAAGTATTTTCGATTTTCTGCCCCAAAATTCTTATTATTTTTCTTATTGGATTTCATTCAACATTACATCATTTTATTTATTTTTTTTTTTTTTTTACATTAACTAATACTTTGCGTCTCAATAAGAGTTTAACAAGACAAAAAAGAAAAATTACTTAAATTAAAATTTATAAAAATTTTATTATGAATATTTTAATCAATTACTTTTAATATTTTTAGAACTCATACTTATATATATATATATATATATATTAATTAGTTTCAACCACTTTTGGTCCACAGATATATACAGGTGACATGAAGTTGAAATGAAAAATTAAAAACAAAAAGCAGTGAAGAAATCAATTCTGCCTATGCTCAATTGTCTTCTTAAGAAGTAGCTGCAATATTTGTCCAGTGATGTAGCCAACACCTAAGGTGAATAACTATTGGGACAGAAACACCCAATTGCTTCAATGACTCTCAATTCTTCGCAATTAAGTTGGACTTTTTTTTTTTTAAGATGCTAATCTACTCTTAAATTCTCATACTCTACTACTTATTTGATCGAAGAAAACATTATGCATCTAAGTTTTTTCGAACTCGCAATCTCCAAGTGCCACAATTAATTTGGATTTAGATTCGAAAGTATATAATTCAAATCAAACCTCTTTTGTTGTTGATGCAAACCCTCTTTTCATTTTTCTTTTCAACCTCTGTTTTACACTTAATTCAAATGTCATTTCTTTGCTCGCGAATAAGGAAGTTAATTGTTTCCTTTACTTTTTGAGTAGGCAGAGATGAAAAACAGAAGAATATTGCAAAAGAAATTTGAAAGGAAACCGCTTCCTACTTTAAGGTAATTAATCAGGCATTTGCACTCTCATAGCCCAAACCAATCCTTTTATAACAAAAACTACTACTTGTGTTAATAATTCTTGATAACCCAAACCAATCATCTATTATTATTAGAGGGATGATGATGATGATCTTTTGAATTGTAACGAGTATCCAAAGCTATTTATAGGTCCCATTGATGTCCAACTATTAAAAGTAAAATTTCCCTCTTCTTCAACCTTTTCCTTTCTCCCCATTTTCTTTTCCACCTATCAAATACAGTAGGGTGAAAGAAAAGGATCAGTGAATGGCTGCAAAAGACAAAGTAGCAAAAGGCAACAGTTATTCATTAATTTCAAATCTAGCAAAACATAAGGCAGAAGGAAATGTCTGTTAATGAAGTATGAGTCCAACTAATGCTTCAACAAAAACACATGAAACCCAAAGAAGGAAATTAAAGAAATTAGACAATTTAAGATAACCCCTACAGTAAACTCTCAGTCTTAGACTTAGCCCTAAGGTCACAAAATGGTGAGTTTTCGGTTCTTCTAACATATATAATATTAGACCTGAGTTAACTTTGATCATTTGTGTTTGGCAAAGTCAATACCCGAACCTATTAACCTTGCAGGTGGTGATTTTCCTTCTTAGTACAAACACCACGAGGCATGAAAAGGTGCGTTCTTGACTTCTTCGTTATGATTTGACGCAAACACCATTTCTTTTCTCTTCCCTTCCTCCTCTTGTTCGGGCTGCAACACATAAAAAAATAGGTTTAGAGGAGGGTGAGAAAACCATTGTGAAATGGGATAGATTCCAAACTCCGAAAATAGTAAAGAAATTAAGTTGCATTGCTCACCATATAATAACCCTTTTGATATCTGGTCAAGCATTATCACATATGACCGCAGCCTTGATCCTTTCAACTGTGCATTTAATTAGACTATTGACAGTAGCCACTGATCCAAGAGAGAGTTTTGCCGTTGGAACTGAATCAACTAAAATCTGGAATGCAACAGTAAGGAGAGAGCCACCAGAACCGATTTCTAGAATTCCTCCTCCATTAAGTCCTGGACCATCAGGAAGAATTGCAAAACCTGATGGCAGTAGAGCGACATAATCCGGATCCCCACCACTTAAGACCACGTTCATAGCACCAATATCAACTGGGGCATAAATCACATAGGACCCTGTAGCATCACTGCAGCTCTCTTGTAGTATCAACATGTTGCTCTGGCTAGAATTTGCACTCTACATTTACATTAGTTTACAATTGGAAATGTTAGTTTAATGGATGATTGTCATTGAGATAGGGTTACCAATTAAAGATCTAAAGCACATTTCCAACTTGCCAACATACATTTACGCGCAGTAAGGAGACACAATTGCCTGGATCACGACCATTGGCTATGTGAGCCATTTCTTGAACTAGACCACCATTCGAAAGAATATCCCACTAGAAATTCAAGTTAAAAAGTGCAAATTAGTATAATATTCTAACAGAAGAAAATGCTAGATGTATGTTAAAAATCTTGGAATTAATTTCATGGTTCACTAAAATTATCTTATAGCAGCTATACACAACAATGCACCATTGTTGTGGCAATGTGGAGAAAATATTGCAATGCATGACTAGCATAAGAAAACATGTGTTAAGTGTGATTTATGATGATTGATCTTTAATTCGAATCAATGATGTTGAAAAAATATTGAAAAACTTTTTCAATTATCCCCCAAAAAAAAAAAAAAGTGGTTGACAAAATGATTGAATTCTCCCAAGTTCATCCCTCCTTTTATCTAACAAGCGAGCAACTTTAGTACGATCTGATCCCTTTTTCTTTGCTGCTGCTACATGTGGTGATAGAAGCAACAGTGCAAATGCATAATTGAAAGCTTCATGATAATGTTTGTTACCTCACTTCGAGAGTTCTCATCCCGGAGGAAATCAAAAACCCTCTTTAGTGGAACTGGGATCCAGAAGGAAGTTGCAGCACTTAATACAATACCAGGAGGCCTGCCTGGATCATCCATACTCTTTCTGGTCATTACCCTCACATCATCAGAACCTGTTGCTGACAAAGTTGTCCAAGCATGGGCAGTCGAAGCACCAACGCCGGTACAGAAGCTAGTCACCATCCTCTCTGCCAACTTCAACATACTCTTCCTCCCTTCTGGGCTAGTTATAACTGCAGAACAAGAATCCGAATGGTAACGTAATAGAAAGATGAAGTGCACTGCACTTGATATTTATCATTTCTAAAAGGTTTCTCAAGGGGAATAAAGAAAGGGGTTAATTTATATGCTTTTACCGCATAGATCCCCAGCAGGAATGTTACTGGCCATTGTACTTGCAAGACGTTCACACTGTCGATCTAATGTAGCCACCCAACGTTTTGCTCCGAAAGCTAGACCAGAATTAACTAATGGTCTGTATATGTTGTGGACAGCTCTATCATCCACTTCGACATGCTCAACCCATATAACCTGCAAGTATCATGAAAACATGACATGATTAGATGAAGATTTTGCCTGATATAGACAGGGAATGAACAGGGGAATATAATCTAAAGAGTTTAGGCCAATTACAGTGCTGCAAACATATCTATGTTAAAATAAAGAGTAATTTACCTTTGAGTATCCATTTGGCAATTCTTGGATCAAACAACCTGACGGCCTTCTTCTACACTTGGACATTGGACTAGGGCGTAAATTATCCAAGGAAACATCAACTACTGCCCAAGTTCCGTCAGTGTGCTGCTTACAATACCTCACGAAATAATTTTCCCGAGTTGGTACAAGTGGCGAAGGGACTTGAAACTCAGCTGTCATCTGAAAATGAAGGAGATGACAAAATTATTTCATGATGAAATAATTTCGTGTATAATAAAATTATTAGATTGAAGGTATGGTTTTGAAAAGAGAAACATATTCAAATTCTAATTAGTACCACTTGCAAGGCTCCATTGTAGTTTCCTGCTACTCCAGTTGATAGGACTTCTAGAGTCATAGCCCTTGAAACAATTCCGCAAAACACACTTGACCATTGATTCTGAAAACCAATTATTAAAATCAGAAATAAATGGGGACGTGGAACTAATTATTTAGACAATAGATCCAAATTAAACTTCAAAAGAAAATCCTACCACATCCATGAGAATCTCAACTAGGTTGACATGATTCATAATGACAACAGTAGATTCCCTTGAAGCTTCAGATCTCAATCCTAAAGGTTTTGGTCCAATTCCTCTAGGGAAAGTTCTCAAGTATTCATCTTCATTCAACACATTTGTAGAATTCTCCCCAGAAACCCACAAAGGTTCCCCAGATTGCGCCATTCTGATTAGTTCCTCCATTGCCGCAACAGCAAGCTCAACAATCATGGGCTTATCTGCCTCTGTAGGCCCAGAGACAGACCTCAGAAGATCACCACCATACATCTCTCCTACAAACCCTGATTGTGTCCCAAAATTGCTAGTTCCAAGACCAAGAGAACGAGAATGTAAATGAGAAGAAAGGTGAGGAAAGGAAGTCAAAGGCTTGCCGACATATTTAGCAGCTATTCCAGATATCCTATCAATCTGTAACAGAAGAACATAAAAATTGAATAACCATCACAAACTAAGTAAAATAACAATAATAATGAACGTGTGTAATATTTTCCAATCACCTCTTCCCTTAACCGGGCATTTTCTATTCTCAAATGCTGCTCATCAAATGACATCTCCCCGAGAGCCGCTGGGCCCCCACAATTGGGGCATGTAGCATTGCTAAGAGCTTCCTTGTACCGATTGTTCTCAGCACGGAGTTTTTCATTCTCAGCCTTCAATATAGCATTTTCATGGCGTTCATGTTGGGCCTGTAATGAAGGTGAAGTTTAGCAGTTAAGCTAGGAAGTGCTGCATATAAAATGCTTAATACATAGATTAAAAACTTGCATAGAATATAAGTACTATAAATACTTATAAAAAGCATATTGGAGCCTGATTTGCACTCTATATGGAAGTATACCTTCATTTGGGTGCGCTTGTTTTGGAACCAAAACTTGACTTGTAGAGGTTCTAACCCTAGCTCACGGCTCAGCTCCTTCCTTTGCTTATCATCTGGGTGAGGACACTCTTTAAAAAATCTGAGAAACAAAGTTTCAAAAACCCAAAAGAATCAAACCTCCAAAGAAGAACGAGCTTTTAATCTGTCTCTCACTCTCATCTATAATTTCTTGTATATAGACACCTAATAGCATACTAGACATAGTAAGAGAAAAAGACTTACGCTTCCATCTCCTGTATTTGACGCTGGGTATGGCGGTGGTAACGCTTCTTTTTGGTGCGCTGGTTAGGATCCTGATCATCTCCCGAGGGAGCATCCGTGTTTTCCGTACCTGATTTCGTCTCATAATAATCGTCCCTGATCTTCTCCATTAGTTCACTTTCAGAGGTCTTATGGGTCATGTCGAAGATATGGGGACTCTCAAATAGGTCTGGGCTAAACATGTCTACAAATTGCTCAAATGAAGATGCTATAGAGTTTTTTGGGTTCTGCCAAGAGAACATACAAGTCAAGCTGACGAACTAAAGGCCGGGGGGGGTGGAGGGACAGAGAAAGAAACTTACTGTAGGACAGTTAAAAGCAATAATAAACGAAGAAAAACAAAAAGCTAGTGCAAAGTAGTGACGAACGAAGATAAAGAAAGTCAAAACCAGTGAATGATAAATGGAAGCGTATGTAATAAAAAAAAAAATGGAAGCGTAGAAACTTTTTAGGGTCTCTCTCTTTCTAAGAAAAAGTTTTAAGCTCGTTTATCGAGAAGGATTTTCCTTCAAATATCTTAATAGTTAAGCTATAAAAAAAAAACCATTTATTTAATTAAACCACTTACTAGAATATAAGTAGGTTAGTTGTTTAAGGGAATAATTAAGTTATTTAATTTTACAAAAAAAAGGGTATATAATATAATACAATAAATTAGAAGGTAGCATATACTATGAAGATAAAAATGAAGAATTCATCAAAAGCGTAGCCTAAATTGTGACAAAAGCTATCCATGGAAAAAATGAAACTAGGAGAAAAAGAAGGAAGCATAAATCAGGAAAGAAGATTACCTTATAGATTGTTGGCGAAGGGGACTGAGAGATTAGAGCAACAATTTTCTTGTCTTAAACGTTGTGGGAAGTCGGTCACTGGAAACATCATCTTGGGAGACATAGGTAGCTGATGACCTTTAAAAACCTAACCAGCAGTACTACACATTTGTCTCTTGCTTGTTAGGTTTTTGGATTCGGATACCTATATTGGAGGTTTTTGGGTTGATTTTAATATATTCTCTGGTTTTCTCTGGGCTAGGCTAATGGCATTATTCCAAGTTGCAACAGAACAGAAAGGACTATATACGGTTTTAGTCTACCATCAAGTCTTCAGCCTTACATACCAAAAGACTGGATATAGAAAAACAAAATAGCAGAGTTGACAATGTGACAAACCCCTTTGACTCACCAGTATTCAAAAACCCCCAAAACCAAAGATTGTAACGCTCAACTAAGATACTACTGTACCCTATTAAACCCTTTCTGTACTCTCTCTTTCTCAGCAAAATATAACAACGGAAAATTCTCTTCAAAAGAGAAAATATAAATAAAAACTAGCTTCAGTTAGAAGATAAATAAAAGGTTTCATAAACTTAGATATGCTGCAGTAGCAAAATGGTCCAGGTAAAGAAATAGGTTTGAGAGTTAAGACTTGTTACAGGCAACTAGGCTTTGGGGGTCAAACCAAAAGATTAATGAAAGGAGGTTTAGAGTGGGTTTTTAAGAGTTTAGGGTCACCCGAAAAACCACTTCTGGGGTTAAGAGGAGTGGTTATGGCAGAGACCTACCTTGTGAAAGAGAGGGAAAAAAAATGGAAAACGAAAAGGCAGAGATATCAGAACGAGGCAAAAGAGGAGATAAAATCAAGAGAGAGAGAGAGAGAGAGAGGGGTTAGAAGTTTGAAGAAAGGGTGAGGCAAATGGAGAGAGAAGAGAAACAGGTGGAGAGAACGTGGCAGCTAAGGAGTTATTGCAGAGAGTATTGAGAGGTTGCAATAGCATTTATGGAGGGTGACAGGTTTAATTGCAAGCGCGAGAAAATTTCAGAAATAGAAGGAGAAAAGCATCTTCCCAATCCCCTCCCTTTGTTTAAATTTACTTGCAAGACTACTGTGGTGAGATGAATCACTACTTCTTGGCTTCAAGCTCTCAACTAGCTTTTCACTGTCACACTGCTTCCACATTGATAGCTTTTTGAACAATAATTTTGTTAAATAAAAGCTAATTAGAAAAAAAAATAAAGAAAGAAATACCGTAATTTTAAAAATAGATAAAATAATGAACTATTAATTTTGGACATTTAAAAAGGAAAAAACAAAGTATCCTGCAAAGTGCAAACTATAGCTGCTGGTAGAAGGGAAATGAAATAAATTTCATTTTTGTCCAAAAAAGAAATCTTAGTAGCAAGAAAATTTTATAAGCTGGGATAAAAATCCTAAAGAAATGAGGATCAATAATGATATATATAGAGCAGTCCATGATGATGCTGGTGTAATTTTTTTTTTTTGGGGGGAAAATAAATGTAAAATATAATTAAGGTATATATACTTCCCCTCTTGGATGCAACTGTATCCACTAATATTTTTATTAATTTTTTCTTTAAATAAAAATTATTTAATACTGACAATTGCAATTTTCTTTATACCAAAAAAAAAAAAAATTATAGATTAGGACAAAAGAAACTGAAGGCTACACAATATATATATCACTTTCCCTTAAATATAGAAAACAAACGAAGATGTCCTAATTAATAAATTTAACAATTATAGATTAATTTATATGTAAAGTATAATTATTGTTTAGCAAAATAAGATTCTCAAAAAATACAAGAGTATTATATAAACATCCAATGTATCATTTTTAACTGCTCGCGTGCTTAAATAACTCATTCGAGAACAATTTTCCTCTTGAAATATATGTACAAATGAAAAATATTTCTCTCATAAACCCTTAATTTCACATGATGAATCCATATATTTCGTGGGGCTAACATATAATTAATTAAGTTTTACTCTAAATGCATTTAAGTATGGTTTTGGCAGTGGAATTTAGATTGGATTGGCCTTTTTGGCTCTACATTATTAACTAATGAAAACTGAATTTTTGGATCAATCTAGTACGGTCCAACTGTGACAGTTCTCTCATCCTTGTTGGTTCATATTATCAAACAAAAAATCATTGATTTAAGAAGCCTTTCTTAATTGATTTTATATGCTAGTTTTATATCAAACAAAAGTCAAAATAATCCGGGCTGCTCTTTTTCACAAAAGCTTGCTTTTAATGACCGACACCTTCATATTATGTAACCTACCAACTAATGTACAATATGGCTACATCCTTTTAAGTTTTTGTTCCTAACTGAGGCTATCTACAATTTTCTCTTTCCCATCCCTCTGAATCTTCCATTAAATGTACTATGACTGAAGGATACAGGCTCTGCCTTTGCATATGCAGAAGCACTGTTTACTTCTGTCATGCTTCCCTTGCATTTGCCTGCCAAAATCTATGGTGCAATTCGTATAATTTCGAGGAAACTTATTTCTCTGTCTCTTTCTTAGACACATATGTAATCATATATATCGTTAAACTAATTCACATCTGTGAATTGGCTTTTTTTTTTTTTTTTTTTGCATCTGAAAAAGTCATTTTCGCCATCATGCTATACACGCATAGAAATAAATATGTTTGATTTTAGCTAAACGACCAATAAAGAAAATATAAAGACAGGAAGACAAATAAAAAAAATTCAATTTAAATAGTTTAATAACGTCTCATCAGCGGAATACATATAATTTATCATATTTAACTTTCAGAAATAATGTAAAATTTAATGTATACATGTCAACTTCAAAACAGTTATCCATGCTAATGATATATATGATCATGACCTAATCTAACGGTAAAGTGAAGTTTTTTATTTGCTTGAAAAAGTACGAACACATGCATAGACAACGGTACAAGAGAAAAGTAAAGGGTTTTTACTATATTGTCAATCATCATTTTACCATTAGGCTTGTGAATTCAGAATGTGTAAGATATAATAACCAACTTATTGTCCTGCTTTAACTAAGATGTGACCGAAGAAAAAACAAGAATCGATGCAGTGTATCATTGACAAGAGAAAAGTAAAGGGTTGTTACTATATTGTCAATCATCATTTTACCATTAGGCTTGTGAATTCAGAATGTGTAAGATATAATAACCAAAGTGTATCATTGACAATGAAAGGGGATTATATAAGGGAAAACCAACGGCTATGAAACAGTGTAAGTGTCATTTCTCCTTAGATGTTCAACTATATACCCAAGATTTTGTTTAATTTTATGTTTGGGTAGTTGTTCACTTGCATTTTTGTCCACGAAGATTAAAAAAAATAGGGGCGAAAAGCGAAACAAGATTTGTAATTAATATTTTCTTTTGAGGGCATGCAAGAAGAGACATTATGGAAAATTGACTTGGTAATTGATCTTTTTCAATTATGGTTAGCCATGAAAAATGAAATGATAAGTCAACGAACCACTCAAATTAATATATCTCAAATTAAAACGTCTTATTGGTTAATTCATCACTATATGATATTAATCTTATAGTTGCGTCTACCTAAATTTCCTATTAGTTATTATATGACCCACAATATATTAACTAGCTAGCTTTGGGGATTTTTGCAATTTTGCATGAGGGGTTCCTCAAAGGTCAAGGCCATGGCTATCAAAAATCAACATCTTAGAAAATTGCAAAAGATATACAGTCTGTGGGGAACATGACATTTATCTTGTATGTGTGGGTGGGCTTGCGCACTTATAATTTCCCCTCACTCAACCTCTTATTCTTTTGGTGATCATAATCAAACCACATGAAAACCAATATTATTATTATTCTTTCAAATTGTTTTGATATATCACTTTCAAGAATTATAGATATACCTTCTATTCCCTCAAATATTGAAAGCAAAGTCTAATATATTTATTACGTATATATATTGATCATAGAATGGTAAAGTGATGACATAGCTATAATCTTTAGCAACCACGCACATTATAAGATATCTAGAATGTAGCATTGTCTCCCTCCCTTCACATATCTGGCTTCAAATGTGCCCCATCTTGAAGACCAGCCTCTTCTTTTTTAAGCGGAAGAACCATTCATTAGTTTTCAATAACAATGACCTTATTTGAAGTTTTTATCAAATCATTAATTCTAGATTTCATGCCCACTCCAATGGATAAAACAAACAATTTCAGCCATATAATGATAAATTTAATTCCATGTGGCCACCCTCATTCCTATCATTAATACACTGTCTGAAATGAGTCCGTGCCTTATTTTATGTGTCGAAACTGATTAATCACATGCAAAGTACTGAATCAAGGTAAGATGCAATGAAAGGGCTAACGCTAGTTGCTGCTCCGTGTTCCTAGCTAATTAGACATGTAAGAAGGCTTTTTTTTTTAAACTATGAACTTAATTCTCTTTTGGAACCATTTTAAAAGTTCACTCTATCATCGTCAAATGTATAAGAAGGTTACTAGATTCATATATAGGTACCTTTATGTTTCCATGATTAATTTGATGCTTCGCCAACTATATCTGACGCTCTGTTCATTATCCCATTCTAGTTTTCAACCTTCTACTATGACAAATCTCACAGCAAAGTGATTTTGACGATGAAATCAATGGAATTGATCAAGTACAGTGAACCCTGGCTGGGGTGTGTGTGGGGGGATTTTGACCTTTCGTGACATGTTTCCCTTTTTATCAACGTACCATCATCAGAAAGGAGAACCATTGTTTTCAAACTATATATCATGCCAAAATGAACGAATCAGGCTCATGTAGTCATATTCAAACTCATTTTCTTAAATGTTGGGTAGAGAAAAAGAAAGAAATGAAAGGTTCAAAAACGCGATTGGTGAGCTAGCACTGCAGGATATTTATTGACGAAAACAAAAAGTAGTCTGAGTTTTCAATGTCCATACTACCCTACCCTGAAATTTCCATTTATTATCTCCCTCGACCTCCATTGATTAGCTTCACCAGAGCTCTTTCGACCAAACCTTTGGTTCTGGTAATGAGATAAATTAATGATTCTTTACCAATTTGAGAATATGCTCAAACCATATTTCATACTTGGCTCCAAAATCCTTTGAAAATTCACGTTTATGCAATTGGATCGGATCGTGAATAATTCAACGAAATTCCATTGTTTAACAGTAGTACTGGTGCATCACATATGTTACCATATTGTTATTCAACTTCCTTTTCAGTAAAAGTCCTTGGTAGCTCAATCCCTACAAAGTAGGGAAGAATTTAAATGGGCCAGTTTGGAGGTTGAATGATAATAATTGTTCAAAATAAATGTTTCACCATACTTCAATCAATACTCAAGTATAGCTTAATAAAGATTATTGAAGCAACACACCAACTTCCTTTATTACCAATGACAACTATTTTGATGAATCAACAACTGTGGTCTCTTGTATTAATTCTTGCAGAATAAATGTATCCGGTTTGTACGAACTAAAAAGTTCCCCCGGCAGTAATTATAACCTTGTTTTGATTTTGCAAACAGAATAAGCGGTCTGGTTTTGAACCAAAACGGAGATGTTACAGCTGCTGCTGCTTGAAGCTTTCAACTTGAGGATGTTGAACACGTTCACTTTTCCATGCAAGATCGTTGATGAAGTAAAATTGAGAATCCCACTTAAAATATCGATCACGAAATTACCATCCGTTCCCAACTTTTCTGCAAAGATGATCACTTTTGTGCTAATATTATGCTTTGCTCGAGCTGAGATCGAGTCATTTTCGATTGGAGCTTCTGCCACTAAATTTCCACGATAAAATATATAAGCTGTACTATTTCTGTACTTAAAGCCTCCGTAATTTGGATTATCAACCGTGACTTCTAATCCCAATGAAACGTTTCCCTTTACAACTGGGAAAACTACCAAATGAATGCTTTCAAGGGTAACAGACTGAGGAGTGATCTTGGGGTCTTTAGGTTTAAACAGAGTGAAGCACAAGGTAACTAAAACCACTACGACAATGATGAACAAAACCGCTGTCACTGCACAGCAGATTTTCCATTTTCCCATGACTTAAAACTTTTTCTATAAATGGAACAGTCATGAGTTTGATCTATTGTACTTTAAATTAAGGTGAAAAGATGAATATATGAATATATGATTAACAGTTTGGCGAATACTTCCATAAGAAGGTGGAAAATGATGAACTTGGGGATTGGTAATTTCAAGGGGATAGATTAGTGATGTGAGTATTATCGTAATGTGCGGCTGTCTCATATTTGCGCTTTTTTTTTTTTTTTTCCTAGGCAATGGAGATGAAAGCAATGTCAGAATTTTAAAATATTCATTAATTGTAAATGGAGGACGGTTAGAATTTTGTTTTATTTGCGTTTGCTTTGGATCGTCACCCTGTACGGACACCCAACATTATTGTCATTATCAATGCTACATGAAAAATATAAATTTGGTTGAATCCTTGAATTAATATATGATGTTGTTAAATTTTGAGAAATTTTAAAAGAAAAAAATCATTCAATTCATAAGGAAATCTAGACATTTACTGGTCTATTGAAGAAATTTTTTTTTTTTTTTTTTTATAAAGATAGTTAAAATTTCACTCATCTCTAAGACATTAGGATTTAATGCATGCCACCTATGTAAACAAGCATGAATAAAAAGTTATATATAGTACGAGTAACAATTATCAAGTACTATAATTATGTAGTTGCAAAGGACTGTTTCTCATAGAGAACCTAATTTCTGAAATGGAGACATACAAATTTTCGTAAGTAGTTTAGAAGTGCACTAATATCATCCACCATCTCATTAAACAGAGTGTTTGGTTGACTTCAATTTACACCTACACTTTGGAAATTTTCTCTCTTGCCAAATATAGTGCTATCAACCATACTGATTGTTTTAAGATTCTGCCCTAGCAACCCTGTTTCCAATGTTTCTACTTTCCATTAATGCCAAACTTTTAGTTTCTCCTAAACTCTTTTTAATAGTCCCTAAATAAAATTAATAAATCTATCATCAAATTTTTATATATAATATAAATAGAAACGTCCCAAAAAATATCTAAATCTGTCAGCTGTATTTTAAAATTTTTTTATATCTGGATTCTTCGGCATTACGGCAGAGGAAGCAAGTTGTACTTGTATAAACCAGAGGCATACATGATCCATCGAAACTGTGAGGGAAGTAGTAAATTGGGCCTATATATTTTTTAAGAGAAAATTTGGGGTAAAACGGGCCTTCAAAAGCCTCATTGTTTGGGGCTTCTGTCAATTTCCTACTGGGTACGAGCATAGCAAACATTTTAACAAGTATCCAGCAAAGGAGAAATGGGCAACAAACCCGCAGGTTCAAGACCCAGTTTCAACCCTTCTCTTTGATCAAAATTACTTTCATTCGATCAATTAATTTTAAATTAAATTATTTAAAATCAAATTAATAAAATTATTTTATTTTATTTTTATTAATCAAATTAAATATATAAAATTTTAAAATTTATTGATCAAATTTAATTCGTTAATTCTATTAATTTTTTAATTAATTAAATAATAAATACATTTAAATTAAATTATATTTTAAACTCTTAATTTCTCATATTTTAAACAAACTAAATAAAATTAACTAACAAAATATTCAAAAACCAAAATATTATGTTAAAAATTTTAACAACTTATAAAATTAAATAATCTATTTCATATATTTTTTATTTTGCATTTGAATTATGTTATATTTTAATTAATTCAGTTAATTCAGTTTTTAAATCAAATTAATTGAAAATCAAAATTCTTCTAAAATTATTTTGTTAACAAACTTATTAATTGAATTAAATTGATTTTATCTTTTAATTCGGTTAAAAACCTGATTATGAAAACCATTAGCAATATATGGGCGTTGTCTTCTCTATCAGCTGAAGTCAAATTGAAATGATATGAATTATGAAACTAAAGTAAAATCTGAACTATGAAATGTTTACAATTAAGTATTAGCTCTAAGCTTCTGTGTCATGGAGTTGAACTGTCTGCCTTCCTAGCGAATAAATGAAGAGTGAGTGATACTAAGGGAAGAAAGAAAACCCTGAATCCTCACTTGAGAATAATTTCTATCAACAAGAAGCTCACAATTGTGCAAAGAAGCAGTGGCACCAAATTTGCACTGAATCGGTTTCCATTTCCAATTGGAATGCGTGTAGGAAGTGCGCACTCTTCCCCATTGAAAAGGACCCTAGATGGAAATCCATCTCCTTTTGCTATATTGAGCACTGGTCTGTTCTTCTTTTTAAAGGAAATGACAGATTGCTGTTTTCCTGGCACATTGGGATCTATTTTCGGGTTTGAACCATTCATCTCTCCCATCAAATAATTCAACCCTGGTAGGCCTTGGATGAAGATTGTGTTGTTGAGCTTTCTTTGTAACGTTCCGTTGAAAGAGTAGAGCTTTTCATACCCACCACCAGCTTTCTCTAACTGAACTGCAGTGAACCAATTTTCAAAGTTGATTCTTTTCCAGTTGAAAAGGGTGATTCGAGCCGCCCATCCTTGTTTGTAATCCGAAGTGATGTGCCAATTTATGCTAACTCCACAATTGTCACCACAAGGCAATGGCTTGGGGACGGGAAAATGTTTAACTGCTGCCCAAGCTCTGGCTTTTACAGACCTGTTTGCAAAGGGAACAAGAAGGGCCTCTGCTGGAAGAAGCATTGCCTGTTTATTTGGATTGCATTTTACTGCGTCTTCACAACCACACGCACAAGTGTCGCAAGGTATAACAGACTCATTATAATAAGCTGAGAAGGATACACAACATCTAAAATTGCCTTTCGTTGGCCGTGAGATGTTGCAAACCACTTGCCAGCTTGCAAGTGCAATTTTTATAGCTTGAAGTCCATTGGGATCGGGGAACTGTGTAGGATCCACCCTTATCGGGGGTCCACATTTGTAATCTGGATTAAGAACTCCTACAATTTTCCACTTTTGAGGAGGGTATATAGCTGTTCTGTTCAAATCAGGTGGAATTTTGAAAACTTGCACTTGGAAAACTGATTTGGATTTGCTTCCATCCATGGTGACTGGCAAAAGCGTGCCATTTCTGCAACAATTCGGTATCTTTCCCAACTCGGTGTCATTTGCTTTCTCCGCAGGCAAGTCAAAAATGATAGGCTTTTTCTGGCAGTTCAAAACTTTAGAAAAATCCATTTCTTGGTAGTATTGCCCTGCCAGGCCATACAGACAGCCTCTAGAGTCCACTTCCCGCACATAAGCTCCTTTCATTGAGTATATAAATTCCCCTCTCATCCACTCCCAAGTCAAGTTCCAATGATCAAGACGCCCCAAAGGGTTGTTGTTCTCTATCGTCACCTGAGCAAGGTAGTTATTTCCATAGGCTTGAGTAACATCATAAGAAATCAAAAGGTCACCTTTTTGGCGTGGCAAGAACTTTGTTTTTGTTTCTTCAGCCTTATATTTTGGGTTCCTAACACAACAAACGTACATTGAGGTCTCTGTGGATGAACAACACAATTTTTTTCGTTGTTATGCCTAAGATTAAAGCAAAGGGAAAGTATTGAAAGAAACAAAGACAAAGAGGGCTTTTAAGTACTCACTGCGATGAATCGGTGCTGGGCATTTGTATCCATCATTTACAAGTTTCATCGTCTTAGGCATTGGAATCATATTTGGCCTCAGACCAAACTGTGTGCCACTCAATTCAACTTGCACCTGAATTTGGTTTAAATCACCCGCTGTGTCGATCGATGTTTCTAGATCAGACTGAGGATATCCTGAGAGGTAAGTTCCATTGCCAACAGGAGCTGGAAAATCCGCACCATTCACTAAAACTGCTCCATCTGCTGAAACTAATATCTCGTTGTATTGAAACCCAATGAATATCTTCCAGGCCTGCAGCACATGTATTCCCAAGTTTATTATTGTGACTGTGGATTTAAAGGCCCAGGCTTGAGCTGAAACATTCCTCACATGCGGATATTCTTTTGTCCTAGAGACGAAATTGTACGAAAGGAAAATTCCGTTACAATGATCGTGCCCCTTGGGAAGGGTAGGTTGTTGTGGCTCAGACTGATCGGTATCGTAATCTTGGGCTAAACAAAAGTGATTTGTGGAATGAAACAGAAATAACATGAAGGCTAATACTTTCCATGACAATTTCATATCTTTCTAGTTTTGATAACCAAAAGAAAAAGGGGGATAAAAAATCAGAGGAAAACCATTGGTTCTACTCCCAGCAATTACTTGATCTTAGATCAAACAAAGGATATTTGAAACTCTAATGGGAAACTGTTTGTGACACTGGATTCTACCAATGAATTGTTTCAGAATTTGCAGCGTAAGTGCATGTGACAGAGGAGAGATTGAGAGAAAGAGTAAGGAGGAAACCAAATTTTGGATGCTGCTGACAGAATTAATGTAGACTAAGTCAGCAGAAACCTCCTCCACTAAGTTAGCGATGTATTTGGCGGGGATGCATTAACTGTCATTTGAAATTCGTAATTCAAGTATTTAGTAAATGACTCAAAAACCATTAGTACTTGACAAATGTTCAAGTTGTTTCCTCTCTCCCCTGACTTCTTTCTCTCTCTTTTTTTTTGGGATAAATTGTCTCTTCTGACTTTCTTATTTTCCTGCAGCTATTGTCTAAAATTCAGGTCTGTTCAATGGTTATAGGCTATAACATTTGATTAGTCAGTCCGCACACTGGTTTCCATTAGCTTAACTAATTTTCATAAGCAAATGCATTAATAAAGTTTATAGCCTTATACTATGAGAATGAATTCATTAATGGGAAAAGGCAAATGCATAGGAAGGTTCTTGAACTGATTCATGGCTTAAGAGGAAAAGGCTTATAGCCTTATACTACGAGACTGAATTCATCAACAGATTCTTATATTCCCAAGGTAAAACTTGTTAAAACTGTAAACGTGTTATGTTTATGGTAGATTTTATGAGATCGTTGCAACCAGCCAGATTTTTTTTTTGCCCAAGGTAACTGGTGGCAAAAGTCAAAGATGAAGCTAGTATTGAAATTTCATTGCATCATCTCTACAGGTGAAGAAGAAAATGCTCTTATACATTCCAAAGGTAACTATTTCCAAACAAACCTTCATAAAATTCCTGAATGTGAAATGAACTTGGCAGGGTTGGAAGTCAGCATCCTAAATAGAGTACATTTCATCCATAACGATAAAATAATTAGATTCCTTTACAAACCTGTACGAACCCAATAATCTGAATTAGCAAAACTTTACACCAACACAACTTCAATACAACTACCTGCATGACTAGGTCCTTGTTGTGAGCCAAAAAATTTTCTTCTGCCTGTATATAAATCTCATCCTTGGTAATTGATCATTCTTTTTTGTTCATGTTATCACCCACACCTAATTTTACTTTTATCCTTTTGTAAATAAAAATGTATTCTAATTTACACAAACTTTGTTCAAATTGCTATACTTCTTTGTTGTCTTCATGAATATAATCTTGTGTACTGATAGGAACTTCTGCAATCTGTTCTGTGCATATTGATAGTTGATCAGTTCAAATCAAAAGTTACAATCTTACATGATGATCTCTAAATTTCAAGGTCTGCTGATGAACCCAACTGAGTATATGTAGCCTTGGTCTTTGATATTCGTGAAGATTTTGAGGAGGAAGACTTGAGGGAGGAAGTACTTTTTCCTTTTCCGTTTTTGTTTATTAGGAATATTTGGGAGATCCGTGGATGACAGGTTTCTCATCATCTCTGTTGCAGGTTGGCATCCCATTGATAGCTCAAAATCTGTTACAAAATAAAGAAATGCCTGATCAGAATGTTATATTAGTTTTAACAAGGTTATTGACTGTTGTTTCCATTAAAAAAAAAAAGTAAATGACTATTGTCTTAGGTGTAATTTATTGGCAACCATTTGAATGTGAAACTGCTAATACTAACACAGAAAAACCTCACACTCACATATATCACCAAAACCAGGAGAGAAAACAAAAAAGTAAACCCCAGGACATCTTTCCAAACTGAAACTTTTACCCAACATGGAAAGGTGAATCAGTTCCATGAAGTTCTCTTCTTTATCATGAGGGAACAAGAAAATTAAGAATTTTCACTGTCAACATCATATCTATGACATTTGCAAGAAGGCAAATTTACCTTTTAAGAAACAAAAGTTCACATATCCATATCTGGTGTTAAATTTAAGCACTTTTATTGAAGGCTTGATCCAGTAAATCATACCTAGTCAAGGGCTCAATGCCAAAGAGACGGTCCTCATATCAATTCTTACTCGGCCAAATCATCAAAAAAAGACAAAACCTGCTGGTTGGTTTTCTTCTTTGGATAAACTAGACAGAGTTACCGAGCAACACCTAAGTTATTACCAGAATATTTCCTTGCAATATTTTGCACAAAAAAGAGTTTTCATGCATGACATTCAGACCTTAGTTTAATTTGAATTATGTTATTAGAATCTGATATAATTCCCTTTGAATCTGAAAGATATTTGATTTAATATAGGTTGGTAATGATCCAAGCATCCCACTCAATAACATTCATACAGCTTCCTTGGTTGCCAAATATCACCAAAACTTAAATGCTTAACAGCTTTAAGACAGAACATATCAACTAATTAAATAGTGCTCTAAAAAAATTCTTATTAAAACATATGAAACCAAAACTATAGAAGGCGAGTTATAGAGCCAGTAAAATTATTGCAAGGGACCATCGAAAGACAAGTAGCCTATAGATTCCCCTTGATATGGAAGTTTTGTCCCGTGATAGAAGAGCCAAACTCTTCTAGGGAGAAAATAATCTAAAAAACTTTCTCCATGTCATGGAAACAAAAGAAGTTGGGACAAAAACCATTTTCCCTTATCAAGGTGACCCGTGAAAGGGCCCTATTTTTCTATTGTATTATTATGAACTCTCCACATGATTCCAGGCAATGCGTCAGGGATACATAATTTAGAAGTATAAATAAATAATTAGCTTTACATCCTTTTCTCTGAATTGCATATTCTTGTCTAATTATTTATTTACATATAAACGTGCATTCAAATTAGTATATCATTTTGAAACCATTTATTATATCAAGAAGATCCGGTAAATTGAGAGAAAACATGCCTTGAGAGGACCATGTTGATGAAAAAGGTGTAGGATTAGAACTTCTGGAGTTATCGATGGATGTTGCTGTGAAATCAGGGCCGGTCTTGAATTCATTCATCTGCATTAAGTTCCAGGCCAAGGCAACAATTAAGACATAAACACAGCACACTTTGGCATATACTCAATCAAACTATTGAACAGAGTAGAGATAAAAGATACGCAAAGATGTAGACAACATACCCAACTGGGTGCAGTGCCAGAAGGGCCATCCCAACCAATGTGTGCCACATGTTTAACATCTGTCGGATACCCAATTTCCATCTCTCGCTCCTTGACAACTACAACAACAATATCATTTCCCACCTCAGTTCCAAAGCAATCAAAACCCATAATAAAACACAAAAGTTACCCAGGAAACATGCTCAAGTATACTCATATTTCATAGATTTACATATGCATACACACAGAAATGTATATAGAAAGAGACAGAAAGGGCCTCACCAAAGATTTGGGAAATATATTTGAAACTTTTATAGATCCCTTTTATCTTGGTACCCATGATAGTGGACTAGGAACACGACGGAACAGCCAGTTCAAAGAATGATAGAATGTTGAAGGAAACCTCTAGGTAAATGTGGAGAGATTGTACTTATGCCTGCTGCAAAGTAGCTGTACTTAAATATGGCTTGTTGCTTTAAGCCTTTTATAATCACCAAAAACACAAAAACAATACAAAAGGACAAAAAGTTGCTGCGTATCATAGGAGTAATTACATGTGATTGAGGAACTATATTACCCGTGAAACAAGCTTGGTATCTATCCTTGAAACTAGAGCAAATTATTATGATGATACATCGATGAAAGATACCAACTTTTAAGAGTAAAAATAAACAATTTTAATGTGCCTATAAGCTATGGTGATGATGATAGCTGGAAGATTCAAGAGAGAAGCAACTTCTCCTCCATCTCCTCCAAGCATTGATGCAAAGTTCCATTCTTCGTCTTGTTTGCCATCACTTCTGATAAATGGATAAAACATGCACAAAAAAAAAAAAAAAAAGAAACCTCTAAGAGGAAACAAATAACCCTTTTAAAGAAACAAACAGGGAAGGAAGAGAAAGAATAGAAATTCCAAGCAAACGAAGGAAAATGGCGGCTTGAAGAGAATGAGGAGAAGAGGGTTCTAAAGGGAATAGAAGAGAAGGTGGAGGGCCATGAAATGAAAAATAATAAGAACCTTCAAAAACGAAAGGTGAGATGTGCGTCTCAAAAGACCAAAACAACAAAGAAACGAGTCAGGACATAAAAAATCGGGTGGTGGCTTTTTTAGTCTGGTTATGAAACGCAAGATTATGACAATATTTGTTGCGGGGTGTAGGTTGCTTTTCATTAGGAGCAAGTAAAGTGCGGAACTCAGGTATTTACGTCCTTTTAAGGCTACTCTAAAAGAAAATGCAAGTACTCTTTCTTAAAATGCGGGCAAAAACCAGAAAGAGATGTGAGAGAGAAAAAAAAATTATACTTTTGCAGTTTCATAGACAACAGCTGCAGTTTTGAACTTGTCTTGTTAACTCAAACGCAATTTTGTTGGGAACTTCTATTTGCTTTTTTTATAAAATTATTTTTAAATAAATTTATTTAATTATTATTTAATTTTTTATTTTTAAATTTAAAAATTTTTAAAATTTTTAAATTTATAAATCCAAAAAATTTTAAAAGTTTTGGAATTTTTAAATTCAAAAGTTTTTATTAATTTTCATATTCGTAAATCCAAAAATTTTTAAAAATAAATTCAAAAACTTTTAAAATTGTTTTAAAGGAATTTGTATTTGTGATTTTTTCGTAAAATAATGTATTATGGAAATAAATTTGTGCAAATTTCTTAAACTTAATGAAAATTCATTTTTGTAAGGTTTTAGAGGCTTATGAATTTAAATTTACATAAACCTTTCAAAGCTTAGTAGATTTTCATAAACTTTCAAAGATTACCAAAAATTTATTTCCATAAGCTTTTACAAAATAAGTGTACGAGAGTTAAAAACATAATTTATTAAAGGATAATTAAATTATTTTATTTAAAAATAATTTTATTATAAAAATTGAGGGGTACATAAAGCATTATTTAAGATATGTTTAGAAGCACTCTTATGAAAAAAAAAAAAAAAAAGATATCAAAAAATATTTGCAAATAGAAGCACTCAATTTTGTTTAGTCTTCCTAAAAGATTGTAAATTTTACCCACCAAAATGTCAATATTACCATTAAAATTAAAAAGAATAAATCAAGACATATTTCAACTTCTGGGTGGAAAAAAATCTCTAAAGAATCATTAATTTTATTTGGTACACTACCAAACACCACCAAGAACGGGAAAAATCTATCAAAAGTCAAACACCACCAAAGAATCAGTCATTTTATTTGGTACACTAACAGAAACTTATCTTTCACAACTGTCAAGGCATTTTGATTTGTCTTTCGTGCCACTCACATGGATATTCATGTCTTTAAAAAGATTTCTGGTTTTGATATGAATGTAAATTCTTGGAAATTTTTTAATCTGATTTTTAACAGTGTCTTCCTCTCAATTTGCTTACAAAATTCCTCTGGGGGCATTATAATATTCCTACTCTGCTTGTAACCAAATCATCTTGCAATCTAATACAGCTAAATCTCCGAGCTTTTTCTTTGGAAACCACAATATCTGCTTAGGTAATTTAGATTAATTATGCCAAGAAATGTTGATCGTTGCAGCCACGTTAGGCGCCGCTATCTCTTAGAATGAAACACAGCTTTATTTAATGGTTTCGTGATATAGTAATGTGCTTCTCACATTTAAAATGAACAGGTGAGTTTTTAAATATTGCTAATCCTGACATTCTATTCTGATGATCTGAGCAGTGAACAAATTTGATTATGCACAGGGTGTTGAATAATATATGTGTGTTACTTGCAAATCCTTTTTCTATTCTCATGTTACTATTTTTTTAAAAAAAAAATCTGAATTGTTTTTATAAAAATTGTAGCCCAAATTTAACAAGTGGAGTACCCAGCAAATCTCTAAACTAAGGTTAGTAAACGGTTTCCATCCGATTTAGTTCAGTGGATGAGTAAGATAGCAGCAAATTCTTATACCCTTGCTTCAAAGCAATCGATTAATTAATGAGCTAGAGCTTCATTGAACCATAAACTCATGTTAGTACATTGGCAAAATATACTGCAGTAAAAGGGATGATGGTGAACTTTCATTTATTCAAAAGAAAACAGATAAAGTTGAAAGAGGCCTAGCTATTTCTACAGCCCTTCTGTAAAAGCCACTCCAGTAGATTTCAACCAGGATCCTCCTTGTATGAGCTCAGCCACGGTGAATTTTTTGGCCTCTTCCGGGCTAGTAATGACCTGATAGCCTGGCCATTTCACTCGGTTGTTAGTTCCAGCTCCAGGGCCCCTGTTCATGTACTCCCCATAGTACAATGTCTTCAATGCAAAATCCCCACTCCAAACTGACCACCCTGCAGGGTCAATGTGGTCACCAATGTAGGATTGCATCACAGCAGTTCTTGAATACTCCTTCCAGGGCCGGCCCAAATAAGACTTGATGGAGGCTTTAACAGGCTCAAGATCAGCACTTGCTATTATATTACAGCTTTGGATCGAAGTCCCAGTGTTTTGGTTTGGGTCGATTCTGCCTTGGGCGGTCACCATATTTGATTGTGAATCCATGGGCTTCCGGGCCACGAGTTTGCAGTTTTGGAACACCACAGCTGCATTACCAAATATGAAGTCCACCGTGCCAGTAATATAGGACTCTCTGTAGAATTGGCGGTTGGAGTGGGCGTAAAGCGTGTCTTGGTAAGCATCGATCTGGCAGCGGTTTATAACAGATTGATCGGCTCCAACACGGAGAGCCACTGCTTGATGCTTTTGTGGCCCAGCTGTGTTTTGGAACCATATGTCTTGGGCCACAAATCCATCACCAACAGCCGCTGTATTGGCAAAAGCAAATAAGCCATAGCCCATATAGTGTTAGCAGGGAAATATCGACATCAAAGAATGAAAAAGATAGTCACGAGAGGAATATATGAAAGGAATATGTGTTCATAAGATTAACGAAGGATATAATTACTATATTTAATTATCCAAAAAGAAAAAAAAGGAGAAGATCTTTACCAACAGTGGCTGATTTGAAGGTTGTAGATCCATCAATAACATTTAGGCTACCGGTGATAATCGTTGAATTCATCCCATCACCAACAATCATCAAATTCTTCTTTTTCTTTGCTATTTCAACATTTTCTTTATAAATACCCTTTTTCACATAAATTATGTACCTGGTCTTGCTTTTATCTGGCGCTGCTGCCACAGCCTCCGCTACCGTCTTGTAGTTGCCACTCCCATCCTTGGCCACCACCACATTGGCCTTAATTTCATTAGGCGAAGCCTGTAAAAGCTTTCGATCCTTGCTGCTGACCCATGAAGGAAATCCATCAATCAATAGGTCATTAAATTTTTTCTTCCTAGGAGAAACAGAAACAAAAATGGCCAGGGTGGTTCTTGCTCTTGATATCAGGTCATTGAGCCCTGGCTCCATATGGGTCCGAGCTGACCCTTGTAGCCCATCCAAGCATGTGACATGGTTAGTGAGCACGCTACTTAGCCATGCGTGAGCATTTGAATGGGAATTGACATCTCCTCTTCGAAGAGCCACCATAGAATCCTTGATCCTATCCATGGATGATTCCATCAACTCCAGGCAATCATCCAAAGCTGCTTGCTCTCCAGGATTGTTGATCCGATGCTTGAAGTCTTTGGCCAGGTTGATGGCATTTTGCATACGAGCTCTGGATTGCTCTAAGAAGGTTTGTAGTAGATCAACATCCTTCATTTTCATGGTTTTGTTTGAGGCTACTTCTGAGATCAAGGCTGAACATGATTTTTGGTCAACAGCTCTCTCACAAAATTGATGTGGGAGGGCAGTACCGAAGGAGCTAAATTTAACAAAACGAATAGTAACCAAAGCAGTTGAGCATATTATAGCAACCAAAGTGAAAATTAGGGGGAGAATCCTACTGGAAGAGGTTTTTGGTCTGTCTAGCAGAGGCTGATGGTTAGTAGCCATGGCAGTAATTGAGCTTGATCTGCTTATCTGCACTATTTGGCTCTTTTGTCCTATAATCCTTATCATATGTTTGGATGGAGGCAAGGGAAGAAAAAGAAAGTAAAGTAAATGAAAGTAAAAGAAACAAAAATTTTTTTTTTTTATTTGGATAAATTTTTAATTTAAAGATAGAGAAAGAGACGAAAACTAAATTATTTTTTATTTTTTAATTTTTTTATAAATTTAATTTTTTTAATATTTCAAATTGAAAGAAAAGCTAAGGAAATGAAAGTTTAAATTTTTTTTATAAAAAGATTATTATGTTCGTCTTTTTATTAATAATAAAAAATTAATCAAAAAAACTTAAATAGATCATAATCATTTTGTAATTTTTTTAAAATTTTTTTTTTCAAGTAAGTTTCATATATATCTTTTAATATAAAATTTTTTTTATAATTTTTTGGTGACTTAATTTTGATGAATAGTTGAATATGAATAAACATATTTTTTGTTATATAAGTTTTTAATTCATTGAAATAATTTTATTTTTTTATAATGGAAATATTTATTTTTTATTTTGGTAAAATAAATTTATATTGGACAACTATATGGTGATATGTTATTACTTTTTGTTTGGTGTAAAAATGACATATAATTCACTAGTATGTAATATTTTTATGTGATTGCATTTTTTATATTTAATAGCTTTTATATGAATATATCGCTAAAGTGAGAGTGTGCTAAAATTTTAGTAATGATCAAAAAATTCATCAATACATATTTATAAAACATCTTTTTGTTTCACTTAATTAAAAATCATTGATATAGTTATAATTATGAGATCAAACAAGATAACAAATATATCATTATCTAAAAGTGTTTTAAAATCACAAGTAATGAAAGGTTATAATTGAAAAAAAATTATTATAATAAATTATTTCTTTCTTTTTCACTTTTTATCCAAATAATGATTGTTAATTTTTTTTTATTAATTTTAATTATCTAAAATAAGGGTATTATGTATTATTTTTTTCTTAAAAAAAATTTTTTTTCCTAATATTTATTTAATCTTAACGTAAATGTTCAATAAGATATTCAAGCACGGGTTTCTTAATCACACCAAGTAAAGCAATTAAAGGTATACTCGGATTTATGTAATTATATTTAAAAAAAAATAACATTTAACGAGTTTAAGAATTAAATTCAATATTTATAATTTTTTTTATTTTCAAGAGATTTTATATAAAAATAAATAAATAAATACAGTAATTAAAGGGATAATGTATGAAATGATAACACCGCGTCAAAAGTGTCAAGTACTATTTAATTAACGTAATGAACGCCGATGATAGCGATCATTAACTAGGATTTGAGATTATCAGAGTTTCTCCATCTGTCAAATTGGAAAAACTGAGCCAATAAGTCACATTAGTAAACATGTTTTGCTTTCTTCGGGTCCCGGAACGGCTTAGTGGTTCAAAAAGTTGGCAGTAAAAATTGACTGGCAACATTTGGGCTAGCTCGCTCAGGAATATGCTCGAACCTTTTGTTCTTCAACAAAACCTAAAGATTCACGCCACTGTTATTACAAGCTGTTGACAATCTTGTAGACAAAGAGCGAAAGCTGACTTTCGTATTTGAAAACGTTTAATGGTTTTGTAAAAATCAAGTCTAGACGCGCTCAGATATTCTTAGTCTCATCAAATGTTATTTTATAAATTAATAATTTATTTATTATTTAAATTTGCAGGTCTATTTCAAATCATGAATATTATAATAACATAAAAAAATGGTTAATACACAAAAAAAAAAAATACATGACGAGAGTACAAAATGAAGTATACACATATATCAATGCTTAGTTTTGTTACCAACAATACGTGCACCGTTGATAAAATATTTTTCTTTTAATTTTAATAATTATGATTTAAATTTTGATAATTTCAAATATTAAAAAAATTGATTAAGCTATTTAATCATTAATAGGATTTTAGAGCTTTGAATTAATCCATTAATTAAGATAGGTTTTGATCGATGCTTTAGAAAAGGCAAGGAATCATCGTGACAATGTCTGCCACTTCAAGATCCAACTGGGTATTTTATAACCTCTTATTATAAACATGGGAGTCATCATGGAATTGCTGAAATTAGCCATTATAAAATTCAACATCATGGAATTTTATATCCTCTTCCATCTTTCTTATGTCCTTTTTCTTTTAACTTCTTTTCTCTTTTACATCAAACTTTGTCAAATTGAAAGATTAAAAATAAGTGAAAGTTTATACAACTAAGTGATGTCAACCAGCAACACATCCAAACTTTGTATACCATCTCAATTTTTTACTTGTATACGAGCCTACGAAGACTTTAAATTTCTTTTTGAAAAATAATTTATTAGATAGACGACAAACTAGCAAGGCCAACTTTATGAAATGTAGTGAAAAATGCATTGTCTATTAACTTCAAATTGCAATAGTATATGATTTTGTTTACTACTTTTTTCCTTCAACTTGCAAGAGGGAGATTTTTCATTCAATCATGCTGTTTCTTTACAATATCTTCTCATTTTTGTGGGCATGGGCTACAAGACAGAATCCGAGGGCTGTCATTGAGGACAGAGATGGGCTTTTTACTCATAATCCAACCCAAATAATTCTCCATTTGGACGAGAGATGGGCTTATTACTCATAACAATGCCCAAGGAGCTTTAAAAGGACCCGAGTACGATTTAAACCAATTTTGGCACTTGAATCAAAATTATTCTGTTTAAACACGTGGATGGGATTCAGAATGTTTAGTGAAAGAAATGATATTGGTAGAAAAGAGTAATATAATTATATAAAGAGGGAATGAACGATTTTATTCGAGAAATCAGTATTGACTGAAATAAGTATACAACACAAATGATTGAATGGGAAAAAAATTCAACCATAATTGAGGCGGAACATGTCATTCTGCACGAAGAAGTTGCCTTGAGGCACGGGGATTAAGTGGAACATCTGTAATAATATATGTATATGATTATAAATTAGAATTCAATAAAATGTGAGATGCATATGTATTGGGAGTGAAAACTAAAGTTTTTTGAGTATAAGAAATAACCTGGCTGAAGCGTAAATGGTGCTCCTCTCCAGGCAATTGGAGGCTGCCACTGACAAAAACAACAATACCACCAGTGAAAGAAGAAGGTTGTGAATCGATGGTGCTGACTACATGTCGGCATTGATCAAATGGCAACTGGTTAAGCTTGGCAGTGATGTCCTCAACCCCTTGTATCTTCTGGCCCTCAAACGTCAACATGGAGGAAGGCTGGTAGAGAGAAGACAGAGCTGGCCGATCATTATCGAAAAGATGGTAGTAATGATCAACAAATGCTTTCCCGACCAAATCAATTTGTTCTTCCATTGGTTATCTTTCAATACTCAAAAGGTTCTTCCCTTCTTCTCTGCTGTCACCATGCCATGGAAATATAAGGAAAATGAATATGCCATAAAGAGCATAAGCAACTGAAAGGGGAAAGATGGCATTGGACTGCCTCCTGGGTTACCACTAGATGACTATAGTACCCTCGCTTCATTTGCCTTTAGCTTAAAGGGCAGTGATTTCTTCCTACTAAATGAAGGGTGCAATGGTAATTGGTGGATGGGGAATCCACCTACCGCTGCATTTATACGCAAAGTTGCATAGGGATTGAAATAGCATAAAGGGTTTAATGTTCCTTCAAGGCTTAATGGCAATGCCATCATGCCAACCTGGAAACAAATAAGAATTAGGTCACCACAATTCAGAGCCTTTTCTAGCCGTCCAAATGCACTTTTCCTTAGCCACATTATGTGAATGTTTAAAGGCTCTATCTTTGCTCATCAGTAGTCAATACTCAAAGTGAAGAAACATTCAGAAAGTGAAGAACTAGGAGGCGGGCCGAAAGTATGGAATATATTCCTTCTGCTTACCAATTAATCCTCTTTGGATGGATGCCAGTAGAGTAGATGGACCGAAGAGGTTTTTATTTGATACCATGTCTCCACTTAGCCAGTAAACCAAATCTTCATAATCAACTAATTAATTGGAATTGACTACTAGGAATAGGGGTGGCTATCCTATCACACAAATGGAACTACAATCTTTAAACATTGGGGAGGCTATACCATTTTTATTTCTGCTTTTTGTTACCAAAAATATAAAACTATTCCTTTTTCCTTCAGTAAAGAATTACTACCATTACACCAAGACCCTCCACCTATCATTATCAACAAATTCCAACAACCAAAATTCCAAGGAGCAAAGGAACAAGTCCTGCTCTTTTGAAGTTTTCGTTTGAAAATATAATACACACTGAGCAACCCTCTGAAAAACTCCGAATCAAGGGGCTTTAGTCATCAGTCTTGGTATAGCATCAAGTCTCATATTCATGGCTTTTCACATGCCTCACTCTTGGTTGAGAACAAGGAGCACAACTGCTGGGAGGTGCTTTGGGCCTCAACCTACCTGCAACTTCAAGCGGACTCATGTTGTATAGCCCTGAGATGGTGGGTTCTCAAGCACAAGTATCTAGTCAACAAGATCACTCTTCTTAATCAGCCTACAGACGACAACTTAATGACCTCCAAAATAACTCAAAAAGTTCAGGTTCAAGCACAATATAGCTCCTTTCAAAGCCTTAAAAAAACATGAAGCAAAAACTAAAATGAAAAATCAAGCGCATTCCATGCAAGAAAGCCAAACAAACAGTCCGGAACAACAAAGAAATGACAAGAAATTTATGTTTCCTATGCCCAGCCAATTTGACCATCCCAGTGAACTATAGGCAGACAACAAATACTGAGCACCACGCATTAGCATAATTTATGCATTTTAGCATTTAGGAACATTTGGTTAGGGGGAAAGTTAGATTACTCTGGAAATTTTGCTTTTTTGTAAGTTGATTTATAGTATCTGAGAGGGTATTCTAAGATTTCTAATAATATCCAAATATCCCACAATCAGAAACTCATATTTTCTTGTAGTTTTTTAAGATCATGGGAAAAAAGTTAATTTGTCCTACATTTGATTTTAATAATAAATTTTTTCGATTTATTTTACCATTACAAATCAACATAACTACATAATAAATGGAGACCGGTTCTAACACTGAAATGGGCATTTATAGCCACACAATTGGATAAAGGTGTAATCTTAATCACACAATTAGATACTTGACACATGATTGAACACATAATATATTACATATAATTAAAATAATGTTTAAAAAAAACGTAGTAGATAACTGTAATTTTATATTTTATATATTTTTTATTTTAGAAAGCACTATATTTTTTATATAAAACATAATAACTCAATTAAAATAATAACAAAATAGCAATAGATATTTTGGTATCAATGAGGTTTGTTATGTTGTAAACATATTAATTGATATAATATCATAAAATAATATTATATTATACTTTTAACTACATTTTTAATGTAAAAAACGCAAGTATTTGCTAACAAAAATCATGTTTCTTATTTTAAAAACATGATTGATAATCTATTAAGTTTTTTTTTTTTTAATATGGTTGATAATGAAAAAATAATAATAATAAACTTTCATTTGATTGAGTGTTTTAATTACGTTTTTTATGTTAGAAACATAGTGTTTAATATTATTAATTACGTTTTTGAAATAAGAAACATAGTCTTTAAAAAATAACTAAGACCATGTTTCTTAGTTCAAAAACATGGTTGATAATCTATCAAAGACCTTTTTTTTTTTTTTTTGTTTCAAAATGTAGTTGATAATAAATAAAAAATAACATAATAAACTTATATTTGAAAATGTGGTTAATAATTTATCAAAGACAATATTTTTTTGTTTCAAAACATGGTTTAATGATGAATAAAAATATAACATTATAAATTTACATTTAAACATGATATAACCCATTTTCTCTTTACAGACAACATTGAAAAACTTTAACCAAACCCTTCTTTTTCTATTTCACAGAACATTAGCTTCAACCTTTATGATTTCATTTTTATGCGGCTCATTTTAGTTTATTTTTTTAATATACGGTCAGTCTACTATCTATTTTGTACAATTTGTTCTGTATTATTTGTTTACGTCAGATGTCTTCTTGTTATATTGGTAGATCTGAGTTAGGTATTGATTAAAAAATTGTTAATCTATCATATATGTTCTTGCTATTGGTTTTTTGTTCTTGATCCACAAATGTTTTGTTACTATTTCTTGGTCTAATCAAATGTTCTTACTATTTGTTAGCCATTGGATGTGGTTTAAATCTTGATCTACTAAATATTCATTTTTGCTTTCGACACCTATTTTTAATATTAACAAAAATCTTTCTTTTAAACAGATATGGCTTATTTATCAATAAAAAAGAAAAAGCAATTGGTAATAGTGCTTATTTTATAAATGAACCAGATGAAGTATATGTTTTAACTATTGTTTATTGTTGTTGTCACATTAGTTACAATGACACTTAGAAAAATATGTAAAATATCTTATGCTAATAAAACTCATGATAAGTTTCAGATTAGGTTATTAAACTTAAACAAAATGGTATTTGATAGTGATATACAAAGTATGGATAACTATGGAATAGATAGAAAAATTTTTACAAAATTATGTCAATTACTTCAAACACAATGAGTATTAAAGGCATTTAGACATATGCTAATAAAAAAAAATGGTTATTAGCTTTTTCAAAATAGTTGCTCGTCATACAAAAAATAAGATTATGAAGCATTACCTAGCCAGATCTAGAGAGACAATTAGTAGGTATTTCATGTTGTCTTGAATTCTATTTTCAGATTGCATTCTTTGTTGTTTAAAACACTAGAATCAGTATCAGAAAATTCAACATATAATAGATAAAAATGATTCAAGTTAATGCATTAGTAATTGCTTACTCTGAATAAATATTAATAAATCTCAAATTTGTCTAATGTAATAGTCAGAGTTCTTGGGTTTAAGGTTATTCAGGTGCCTTAAATGAAATATATATAAGGATGAATGTAAACTACTTTAACAGGCCTAGGTATATGACTAAGAAAAATAAAATTGCTACCAATGTTCTTGGTGTTTACACACTAGATATGCAATTTATTTATATTCTATCAGGATAGAAAGATTTTGCAGTAAATGGCAGAGTACTCAAGGATGCCATTACATGTAGAAATGATTTAAAAATTCTATAAAGTATTAGCTTTAATATTTTTATTTTAGTTTTGCATGAAACTCATTTTAAAAATGTATATTAATATTATGACAATGAATTAAGTTTTTATTATTTGTGTGATACTGGATACATAAATAAGGAAGGTTTTTTAGTACCTTATAAAGGTTAAAGATACTACTTATATAATTAGAGGCCAAGACACCAACCTACAACATCCCCATGGGTACTTCAATATGAAACACTTTTAAGAAAAAATCATATTAATAGATTCTTTTGTATATTGAAAGCTAGATAGGTAATTTTAAAGAAAAAATCATTTTATTTAATTAAAATCAGTGTATAATCATTTTTATTTACTGTCTTTTTTATAATTTTATTAAGTTTGAGATGCTAATTGACCCAATTGAAGGTGATGTTATTAAAGTGAGTAATAGCCAAGCAAAAAGAGATGAGCATCAAGATTTGATTAGACATGTTGAGCTAAGTGATATTTGAACTGAGTTTAAAGAAAAACTAGCACAGTAAATGTTCATGAATTAGTTGCAATCCAATGGTTAAGGACATTATTTTATTTTTTGTCTATTTGCTTACTGATATTGATGTGTGTACAATATGATTTAGTGTACTATTTATTTTCTACATTTGTCTTATACTAATTTTTCTTTTTGTTTTTTTAATATATGATGTAATTAACTATTATTTGCAATAATATCTGTTATGTTACCATGTCTATTGGTTTTCTTCCTGCACTAATTATTGGTTTATCTCCATTGGTTTTTTTATTTGATATGCATTTGTTACATGATGTCTAACTATATGATTAAGATATTAAAATGTCATAATTTGATGCCAACATAAAAAGTATATCTAAAAAAAAAAAATAAACCTCAACAATAGGTAATCACACTTGGACAAAGAAGGAAGATGTCATACTTGTCCAATGCTTTCATGTTTTAGCTGATGATCCTAGATGGAAAGCCAACAATAAAACTTTCAAAGCTTGCTATCTAGGACATTTAAAAAGGATGTTGAAGTCCAAAATTCTCTAAGCACAACTACAAGTAAACCCATACACAAAGTCAAGGGTAAAGTTACCGAACAGATAATATTATACTATTTGTGATATGGTAGCTAATGCAAGTGAATTTTGTTAAAAGGATAAAAACAAATGTGTAATTGTTGACAAAAATGTTTTTGATTAGTGAGTTCAATAAGCAGTTAACATGAATGTGAAAGTTATTTTGATTGTTGATTTATTATCAAAATATTTAATACATATTTCATTTTACATTTTTATAAATTCATTCCCACGTTAGAAAGTTAAAGAACAAACATTTCCCTCACTATGATGACTCTGTTAAGATTTTTAGATCCGATAGAACTACTGGTCAAAGAGTTAAAATAACAACTGATGTAATTGAATCATTTAATGCTGCTAATGATGTTGACTTTGGCTATATTGAGAATCGGGCCAACAATGATCAAAAGAGAGCGAGATTAGAAGATGATGAAGTTAAAGATTTAGCTTGTGCAATAATTCTGACCGCAAGTAGAACATTGTTAGGTAAGAAATGTTCTAAGAGCGACAATGCATTAATTGAATTAGTCGAGTAAATAGGCAATAACGAGGCTATATATTGTGTGGCAACACAAGAAATCAAGGGTATTTCATCTTTTTTCAAGAAAGAAATCAATGGCATTGATAGGCGAATGTCATTTTTCACTAAATTATGCAACTAAATGGTTTTTCTCGAGATGAAATGCTTTTACTGGTAAGTATACCTCAATAGATACTCATAAAATTGTTTTTTTCTTTGCTCTACCATATGAATTTAGAAAGGATTATATACGAAAGTAATTGAATGAACGTAATGCCTATCGATCATCATCTGACTTTTCTCCTCCAAGACAAATGTAGCTGATTTGTTTTATCATATAGTATTTATTTTGTGTTGTTGAGATATTATAATTACATTTTTTTTAATTATGGATATGGTTTATAGTAGAAATATTATAATTACATTATGTAATGTTTTATAGTTTTATCTTTTCGAACATAATGTAATGCTTTTCATTTAGAATTATAAAATAAAAAACTTTGAACTTGTACATATCATAAAATTTGGACATGTTTAAATAAAAAAATTTGGACTTTTATTAATCATAAAATTTGGACTTATATAAATGAAAATTTCTAGAGTTCTATAAAAATTATTTACATTGAATTTACATCAATATACAAATTTATATAAACCAACAAAAGGAAAAGACTCTTTGTCCTCAATCTTCACTATATAAATTTGGATATATAATTACACCATTCATGAAGCACTTCATCTATTTTTTTTTATGTAAATTCTTCTTTTTCAACCCACTGAAAAAAATTTTGAATAAATGTCAATCAATATACATTTATAATTGTGTTTATGATAGAAACATGTATCTGTACTTTAAGATTATACTAACTTTATCTAGTGTACTCGTAAGATTGTTACAAATTATTTTCTTCATGAAATGAAGAATATAATACCCATATTCTTAAGTTCCTAGTTAATGAGGAACATGCAAATCATGTTGGGTTGTCAAGTGCTTTTCATTAAACCTAAACAATTAAAGAAAATAAAATAAACATACTTACCAGAAAATGTAACCTACATTATTTTATTATAGATAGTCAATCCCCTAAAATAACATAAAAAAATTGTAAACATAACATAAATTATTTGACATAACTAAGATAAATACCTTTTTATCATATTTGTTAGTTCTTGTAATGGTTTCGGGTTACCTTTTCTTGAGTTGAAAAAGTAAACTACATAGATTATGTATTCAATCACAACCAATTGTCAATAACCTTTGAAAAAATAGTATTGATTCCAATGTAAGAATGTAATGCTTTTAACAATTATAAGATCTATATAAACCAATGTAAAATAATTAATAAAGTAAGCAATTGATACATACACAAGATTATAAGACGCGATAAAGTGTTGTGACTCTCTTTACATTGCATATGTCAAATCAAATGCACGCTTAGATATAGTGCTCACACTTCTGGATATATGACTTGAGTCAATGAATCTATAAGCATTAATCATTTATCTCTCGTTCACACGTTTGTAAAAGAGACAACATGATAAATACAAATTAATTATAATATTGGTATACACTATATATGAATGAATATATATTATATATTTAAATTAATATATAAACTAACTTCATGTATACCAATGTTTTTGTAATTGATATCTCTATTATCAAACAAAATCTAATAATCTCCTTCTGTCCAATCCATGCCACCGATGGATAATTAAATAATCCATCATCGATTTTCATGCTTATAAGCAATCCACCTTTTAAATTTTATTTCGCATAATTGAGAAATGTATGCATACTAGATTTCGCAAGTGGATTTTGGATAATCTCAATCTCGAAAGCCTATTATATATAAAATTCAAGTATATTCATATAAAAACAAATCACAATTATTAAATAATTTAATTAATTAATTCAAATATATATTACCGAAAAAAAAAATAATCAAAAACTTCATCCATGAATTCATTTAGTACATTGTCGGTAAAAGACGGTTTGGTTGTCTAAGTGGATGACTCTGATATCGATTCGGACTGAAGGGTTAGGAGATCGGCTCTGATTCAGATTCTGCTGTGCAAATTACAAGAGAGAAAGGGTGATGAATGAGAGTAAGAAGAGATGAGTGGAAAAGATGGCCATTTTTTTTCCTTTGGGTGAATTTGATTTAACATTCGACTGGACTGAAAGACTTCGGCTTGACATTGGGTTCAACAAGCCGCAGTTTGCTATGCTAGAGAGATCTTTAACTTTGGGCCTAGGAGAAAATGCTATACTTGATCCAGACCCATAGTGCACCGGAATTGGGTTGCGGCAGCCAGAATCAAATGGCCCACGCTCCACAGCCTCACATTTGACTTTTGTGCAAGCGTCAAGCGTGGGTGGGACTAATTTCAAAACCAGATTCTGGATTTTGGCTGTCCAAATAATTTCATTCATTAATTCCTCTCATACTTTGAGCAACTGCAGATCCTGATGTAACAAAAAGAGCCCCTGTACTTGGTGGAGGAATAGGCTAACTTTACTCATGTTGCTTCTATATTTAATAGCTTCATTCGAGCTTTAATCTTCAACGCAACGCGAGCAATCGACTAATAACAAATGGAACATACAAATTTTTCATAAGCTCATAAATCAGCGTTTTCATTTCATGAGACATCTACCCTTACATAATCAGCATTTTCATATCATAAAACATCCTTACATAATCCAGGCAGTATAATTTACAATAATAATGAGAGAAAATGTAAGAATGATGTCCTACCGCATTATCTAAATGGAGTGAGATTCATGCTTTCAGTCCATTCACTAACAACCTATTACTAGTCTTAAATCCAGAAATCAATCGCCTATATGTACCTTTATCAGGTTTAAGCCCCATATTCAACATTTCATCATGAATTTTCATAGCTTTTCTCATTTCCTTCATGTGGCAGAGCTCACGAATCATTATTGTAAAACTTGCACTATTGACCAAGTTCAACCCTTTCATATAATCAAACACCCTGATTGCTTCTTCGGCTTTCTTTTCTCTCCAAAGTCCATCAAGAATCAAGTTGTATGTTGTTACATCCAAACAGCCCTTCATTTTCTCCATCTTATCATGGAATGCAACAACTTTATTCATCTGTCTATTAAAGTAATAATACTCCATCAACGAGCAACAACCATATGAATCAGGCAATAACCCTTTCTCTAGCATTAGATCCAAGAGTTCTTCAACTTTTCTCCAATTACTTTTTCTACACTGTGATGTTATATATTTGGACAACTGGGAAGCACAAGGATTATATCCTTTTTTCATAATGTCCACTAACAGTCCACATCCATCATCAGACTGATCTTCCTTGCAAAGAACATTCACAAATGCATAATAGCAGCTCTTATTCACCATAATTCCCCTTTTCAATGTCATACAATACATTTTAATTGCTTCATCAATTCTTCCAACCTGGGACAATGCCTTTAACATAGACCCATAAGTATCATCCTGTAATCTAATACTCTTACTACGAGCCTTCTTAAACAACATTTCAGCCGCATGTGTCTTCCTCAAATCACAAAGCTTTTGAATGATCAAATCATTTTCCGAAAATTGGCATCTGGGAAGTAATTGCTTCTCTATCATCATTTTTATTATCCTCTCAATCACTTCTCTATCATTATATTTACAAGCCCCATCAAGAACTGAGCTATAGGTACAAAACCGAGTATCGAGTTTTCTGTTGTACATCTCATTTATTTGATTAAATGCGGCTTCAAAATCCCCACTTCTGCTATAAAAATCTATAACAAGATCATAAATTTCAGAATTATAAATGCCCTTCTCCAGCAATCTAACAACCTTCTCAAAATTCCCATTTTTACAAAGAATTTGAGCAATCAATGACCATGAAAATTGATCAGGGTCAACACCAAATCGAATCATGGCACCTAAAAGACACCAAGCTAGTTTTAACTCATTTCCTCTATTTAAAGCATCAAGCAGCGCATTACTAGCACTTATTGAAGGGGTTAACTCGTGACTTCTCATTTTCTTAAACACCTCTAATGCTTCCATAAAAAGACCCTTTTCCGAATAAGATTTAATGACCGAACTTAAAGCACTACATTGAAAATTTTTACCTTTGCAAGCTTGAATCATAGAATCAGCAACTATTGGTGCAGGATAGGACTGAGTCAGAGAGTTTAAAATGGGCTCTACTGGTCGGGAAAGATCCGACCCGACTGCAATTTGGATGATATGGCATTGGGACTTGAGGTCTGGCTTAAAACCCAAATGGGTTTTGACCCACTTGTAGAAAGTTAGAGAGATCTGAGGGTGATGTTGGGTTTTGCGGAGGATCTGGAGGATGAGAGTTCGGGTTAGTTTGGAGGAGAGATTGAGAGTTTGAAGAAGTGGTGCCCAGTTATGCCTTTGTAAGAGAATAGAAGAGACTTGGGAAACCAGCTTGGATTGTTCGATTTGATTTCTCCAATTAGAAGAAGAACGGGTTTTTCTTGTTTTTGGTGTTAGAGTTGAAAATGGTTGCATTTGAATTCAGTTTAGATTCTGTCGCTGGAGAAAATAATTTTTGTTAAGCAGATGTCAGAAGGTAAAAACGAATACAGCAAAACAAAGTCGTTTAAAGTGTTCCGGTAGGGTACCGCACTTGGGCATTTGGGCTCAATTAAAGGTCCAAGTCCAACCGGCAGTGGTCTATTACTATCCCATTTTTGCAATTGCCGATTGGCGCAGAAGCGTTGGCGTTCACAAGGAAAACAACAATCAGGCACTGCAACCAAAAAAATGGGTAAACAAAAGGAATACTAGTGCTTGTTTTTGTTAAAAAAAAAAAAAACACCTTAATCTTTCAAAGAATCGCAAATTTTGAAGGCTTCAGCTTGTCCATATTTTTTTTTGTATGAGATTCTTTAGTGTTTAGTTGTTATTTTTTATCTGATTATTTCAAAATTAAATCGAATCAAATCTTATAAAAAAAACATACTCTTTTTGCACTTATCTTTTTATTCATAAAATTTAAAATTAAAATTTTATTTTAAAAAAATCAAATTCCTTATAACTCAGACGTCAAACCAACAAGCATTGGCCAGCTTGTCCGCATTTGTTACTGAACAAAGGGCTTACAATCTGCTCAAAACCCAAAGGGGATGGTTGATAATACAATGTACTCAAAAGCACAAAGATTTTATAGACAATCACAACCAGAGCGGCTGATTGATAGCACATTAATGTTCGTACATATCTGCTCCAAGCCCAAGGCTTCAAAGTATGCCGCACAAGCACAAGATTGAGTTTAAGGAGGCAGGCAAGCTGAAGTGCAACCTTGATTCTTTGCCTCCAGGTAAAATCAACAAAAATGCAATATAATGGGTTAATAGTTATTTATATCAGTATGAACATATCTAATACCATGAGCACTACCAATTTATCCAAATAAGAAAAAGGAAAAGCATAAACACGTGCATTTTAAAAGCCAAAACACCTTTAAGTATAAAGTTATGTAAAGTATCAACAAGGTTAATATCATTAGGGATGTAAATGAGTCGAGCCGAATCGAATAGTGAGAAGTTCGAGTTTGAGCTTGAGCTCGACTCACAACTCGGGGTTTGATATTCGATTCGAGCTTGATCGAGTTTTATTTTTCAAGTTCGAGCTCGATTCGTGATCGAATTCGAGCTACTCGAGCTCGCTCGATTAAGCTCGATTAATATATAAAAATAAACTCGATTCGTATACTCAATAAAAGTTCGATTATTCATGCACGAATTCGAACTTGAACTCGGATTCGAAATATTTTATTAATTAAAATAATAAAAAATATATTTAAATATAAAAACTCGATTAAGTTCGCGAGCTACTCGAGTCAGATATTAGAATACTCGAATTCGGCTCGATCGATAAGTCGAACTACTCGAACTCGAGCTCGACTCGATAATAATCGAACCGAATTCGAATTTTTTTCGAATCGAACCCGAATAGCTTGCGAGTACTAATGTATCATTTATACCCTTAAATATCATAGACAACAGCAAGCTGATCCTCACGACAATAACTTAGCCAAGTTGGGATGCGACTTTAGCCTTGAATCTGAGTGTAAAATGAGTTCCTCCCAAACAAGAGGAGGGAAATTAAAAGTTAATATACAGAATGAGGAATTGATAAAATTAAATAAAAAATTTGAGTCTATGAAAAAACACACTTCCATTCTTGTCTCATTTTCTCCAGGTCTGCATCTGTATTGCTTTGGTACTGACCATACTTTGACAGTAATGTCATGGTATCCAATCTTTCCACGATAAACCTTGCCATATTGAAACTCTCCGATGAAGTTGGCTGAGCTAAAATTGTCAGTATATAATTTCAAGTCCTCAATAGAGATTTCTACTGTTTCCTTGGATTCCATTACAGGCAGCTTTCTACACAGCCAGAAGCAGAGATGGTAAAAATATAAGTCTTGGAGCCAACTACCAACAAACGAAATTATAAAATACAAATGGGATAAATACCAAAATTGTCATACTAAGCCTCGTTACTGAATTTTGTCATTGAACTTCGATTGCATTTGCCCCCATACAATTCTTTTGGTTGAGTTTTTGGACAAAGAATAATAGTGAAAGAATAGTCCATAAAAAATTTTTGTTTATGCAGTTTGAATAAGTTCTGGGGAAGAAGAAATTGTGAAATTTCAGGTCACAATTTTTTCTTCAAAAATCATTCAAACTATATAAACTAAATATTCGACAGGTTGTTCTTTTATCTTAATTTTAGTACAAAAATCAACTAAAAATAAAAGTACCAACAGCAAAATTCTATGGAATTCACTTACAGTTGGAAAATTCAACAGTAAGCCATACAATAATAACAAATTTAGTATTTATACCAATCCAAATCATTCGTGCAATAAGCTTTTTATGTATAGAGAAAAAGGTAAATTTAAGGCTCTAAATCAATTGGGACGAAGGGAAAAAAATCAGGTATAACAAGCATTCATCTGTCGAGCAAATGGAAAATCAGCAATCAAAGGCTCTAAACATTAGCAAACAAAATTAAGTGAATGAAAACAAAGAGCAATAAGGTTGAACCAAAATCAACCTATCGATCTGCTCGGATTTAACGAATATTAAGAGATTTGACAATTGAAGTTAGGTTTTCTCTTACATGACGACTACGGGGATGAATTGTTACCAACTACCGTCGAATTTTTTTTTATAGCAATCGTCGAAGATCGATCATTTGCAGGTGTGGCTAAGATTTCCTTTGGATGCCTTTAAAATCGTAATAATCCTTTTTTTGGTTTGGGGACTCTCAATATTCCATAATTACTTTGAATCTTAATTAATTTAAAATTAAATCGAATCAAATTTAAATTTATTTTTTTTTTACTTATAAGATTCAAAATTAAAATATTACTTAAGAAAAACTAAACTCCTTACCATTAAGACCAACAAAGGTTTGGTGTAATTGCCCTATGACTCATATAGCTCAGTTTATATATATAGCTCAGTTTACTGGGCAGTTCACTCATGGTTTATGGCGGTTTAATTTTTGTAATTGGGTTTGCTTTGGGTTTCTAATGACTATACTGCCGCTATTTCGCTCTCGGACTTTATTTTGTTATGTCAAAAATAATTTAAGCTGTGATCTTTCTAAAAGTGTAAAAGACACTTGGCCATTGCATTTGATAGAAAAATACACATTCTTTCTAATTAAATTTAAGCGGTGATTAACCTAAGATTTTTTTTTTTTTCTATTTACAACATAACGGGAATGCCTGAATAAATAGAAATATATGATTAAAAAAATCATCCAAAAATAGAGCTGGTCAAATATACTTAACTCATACTGCTAGAATAACTGAATAAATTATATAAACACCCCATTATTGAATGCAATAGTGGAACAAAATACATATTTCATACTAGTAAAAAAAATTGAAATGCAAACAAAAAAGTTTGATACAAAATTATCTCACTTGCTAGCTCCTATTCCCACGGACTCAAAGAACACTCCCCGGGCAATGTCGGGTATCGATCATAATCCTTGCAATAATCATAAATCACAAGGTTTCTCTGCACCCAAGCATAATCCGTCTTTTGAGAGTCAGATAAGTGCCAAGCCTCGTATTGATCCCACCAATTCTCGGTGGTGGTTGATACGCATGCAGGGTATGGATCTTCCCATTGGCACCCCTCCACGCTGAAATCCTTGTAAGATGACACGAATGGGGCATTTTTCCAATCTGTTTTCTCAAGCCCACCTCTTGTGGCCCAGTCATCTGCGTTCCATATGCTGGAGAACAAGTACATGGGCTTCTCGTTAGGAAAGAAGTCGTTTTTCTCACCATTGTTCTTGAACACTCTAATGGGAACTCTATCCACAAAAAATCTGTTTGCAAGAATTCAGTATGAAATTCAATTCAGTTTTGAACAATAAAGTATTTGTATCTATAGTTAAGCTAAGAATCATAAATCTCAGTTATAGTATATCGTCACTTCTTTTCATCGTGGTGGATCCCATGCTAGGCATTGCCATCATGCCATGTACATGTTGGAGTGAAAGTGACCAATTTTCTATAGAAAAAAGGATAATTTTTTTCTGGCAGTGATGAAATTTGGGACTTACACAATTTGCTCGTTGTTCCATAAAATGGAATATGAATGGAACTCTTCAGTGGGGTCGAACCAAAGCATGTGCCTCATTTCACGGCCTCCAACCCCATTCTTGTACACGTTTGTCTGGATTAAATACGGCTGTCCGGTCCTATTCCCCAAGAACTCAAAATCCAGCTCATCTCGTTCTGGCCCTGCCCCATTCTCGGAACACATCTGTAGCACTCTTAAACTTCAGCTTCCAAACCAAAAGAAACGTAAGATGGAAAACACAAGTAGAATGGAAATATCTTGTGTTAATGATGTGAAAATTGTCAAAAGTACATACATAATAAGCTGTCACAACACCAGCAGAGTCACCTCCGACCAACTTCATTTTCATGCTAAACCATCCAAATCTGTATCTTTGCTTGGTTTGAAATCCACAGCCTACAAATTAATAGGCAGAAGAAAATTAAAATCCACTATATGAAGCAAGTTTTCTAACCAAGAACAACTTTGGCAATCGATCCTGGAATCAATTTTGAATCAAATTCTATGAAAGATGAGTTTGTCTATACCTGTTTCTTTGTCCAAGGAGAAGAACCAGGTCTGCCCATCTTCAGAGGTCTTGAAATTATCTTCAGACCACATTATACTAAAGTTATCTTCAAAAGAAGTTTGTGAACCAGCTGCTTCAGATGATGAATAAAACGCAGCTATTAGAACTGCAGCGAAGGGTAGAGAGGCCAATGGAGAGACCCTCATCTTCATTTTGTTGGCTGTAGATTTTTTTGGAAGAAGAGGATGAGATGTCTCTGCTGGATCTCTGAGAAGGAAATGTGCATTGAATGATGAGTATTTGAAAATGGAGAGTTCATGTGAGAAGGAGTAGAACAGCAAACCGAGTATTATTTATTAATTATTTGATATTGATTGAATGTACCAATATACCCATGCAAGAATTCAGATCCTTAAAATTATCAGCATTACTGATTAATTACTGCCTCATTTATGCTTAATGATTATACAGTTACAGCCTCATACGGTAATGAATGAAACCATCAAACCAGAAAATATTTTAGCAGATTACTGATGCAATACCGATCATATCAATAGTCTCAATTTAGGTATCAATCAAGATGGAATAATTATGCCTATTACTGATGCAAAGCCAACATGGGTATTTTTGGGAATGAAGTACGAGAATGGTCCATGGAGAACAAAAAATGAAAAGCCAGGCTGCCTTCCAATTGGAGTTAGCATTATAAAAATGGAGAGTGGGCCCAATTGTTGCATGTAAGAACGTGATTGTTTTTTTTTTGTCTTACAAATAATCAGAAAGTTCTTGGATTTGACAACTGGATTTAGCGGTCGGGACTCGGAGCCAACACTACATGCCCGTTGTTGATTGCCACTGTAGCACCGCTAGCTTAAAAAAATATATATACAAATTTAAACTTGGAATTAAAGCAAGTAAACACAAGAATGAATAAGTAAAACAACTTCAATTACAATTTAAATCTGTTTTACATTTTCCACCTTTCGTTTATAATTTGATTTGTTTGTACCTCTTTTTTGTAGCAGATTCATGGTTAAACGTCTTCAATCAGGGAATAAACAAAATTATTTTACTTGGAAGCAGTGAAAAGATGGCAGAAAGCAGAGCCTGCTTTCTTGGTAAACAGGACCGACATGCTGTTTCCAGCACCCAAGAAAGCAGTATACGTCATAATTGTCATGAAACAAACTACATGTGGACGAGGAAGTTGATAATTAATCTTCTAACGCACAAATTTTGAGTTAAGAGTCAATAATTGATTATATTATACTGTTTGGTTCAGTAGTGGGAACACTTCTTCTCAAAGAGCATGTTTAAAAATAATAATACTTTTTTTTATTGTAGTTTATACTTTTTTTCACTTATATTTTTTACGATTTTTTTTCATTTATAATTTTATAATTTATTTTCATTATAAAAAATGTTAACAACATCAAAAATCAATTAAATTTAATAAATTATAAAATATTTTTATTTTTATTTTTACCGTCACCCTTTTTGATAAATAAATCTCAAAAGTATAAATGAGAAAAAATCTTAAATCACACTTAAGTATATATGAAATTTACCATGTTGATTTAGAAAACTGCACAACCGCATGCCATCACGATTAGAAGATCCGACCTTAGGAGTCATAAGGTCCCACAACAGTTCCATTATTTCGGAGCTTATTAATGGACCAAAAGTGAATGTCGATCTGCGTCATACTTAACATTAATTAATTTAAGTAAATTTTAATTTTTGACGAATTTAATTAAATAAGAAAAATGCAACTGTCACTATCAACCCAATTTAAGTATGTGTCACGGATTTAAGGAAGAGTTTTGAATATATTTCGAACATAATAAAAAGATCTCTGGGATATAAAAGGATTCACACTACTTCTGCTTTTTAAGGCGCTTTTTGTAGGATAAAATCATGAGGTCAGAGAGTCAGAGCAGACAATACCTCACAAGGATGTGAACCGTAGTAAAAAGACTGATCTGGGATGCCGGAAGGGTGAATGCCTGGATCCCGAAATCCTGCGGATTCGTAGCTTAAATCTAGACCTGTGACAAATGATATCAGAGCCACCCTTAAACCGTTCGATCCACACCAAGCATTTCAAGGGAGGCAGACATGGTGGTCAGCTTCCGTGATGAGGGAGGCAGACAGGGTAGAGGCAAACAGGGTGGTCAGCTTCCGTGACGAGGGCGTCACGAGGTTGGGTGCGAGAGAATGTCACGGACCTAAAGAAGAATCATGAATCCCACATCAAACATAATAAAAGGTTTCTGGGGGTGAGGAAGGGATGATAACATAGAGAAAACAACTAAACTAGTTGTATATGTCACAACTATCAAATACGTAGACAAAAGGGAGATCTAAATCTAACTAATCAAAATATTTTGCAGTGTCAGTAAAGTTCTCGCTGACCATAGCTGGCAATTTCAGGGACTAAAGACTCTAAAACGGTTAAAGCAATATCCCAATAACTAATCAAGTGCTTGTCTCACATTATCGGGAATTCACAATGCTCATATATAATGCAGTCACATGCAGCATAGGCAACGGGATCATGTGCAATAATGTAAAAGACAAAGGGATCGCCAAGTTGGCTCTAAAAAAATGTAATTCCCGATCGGTGGAGGAATAATGTGGTAATTAGTGAATAGAAACAAGCAGTACTAATTAAACAAAGAGATACAAAGGAAAACAGAAGAAGTGTGCAGAGCTAAATCAGATAATTATAACCAAATCAAGTTACTTGAATGTAGTTAAGGTAATTTGGATAACCAAATGATTAGCATCAAAATTCAAATTTTACAAGAAAGAAGAAAACAAAAATTAATTGCAATTGCCAGTTGATCATGCATTTTAAACAGCTATCACTTTACTGGTTTCAGCTTATTGCCAGTGGCTGGTAGCTGCCTAGCTGGTCCATGACCATAAGCCCTGATTTTGACATTGGCGAAGTCAAAACTCGGAATATGTGCATTCTTTTCAAGTACGAAGAATTACTATTTAATTCCTTAAACATTCCCTGACAGTTTGGCCGAGTGGTCTAAGGCGCCAGATTTAGGCTCTGGTCCGAAAGGGCGTGGGTTCAAATCCCACAGCTGTCAAATTTTTAAAACTGTGCCTAAAGTCTCATAGGTTCAGCCCGATTAATATAGTATTAGTGCCAGCTAGCGGTGACAACGGGTCGGGCAGATTTTTGTTCGTCCCGAATCTGATCCGATTTTAAGTATATAATATTCGAATTCGTATTCAATCCGATAATTTTTTTATTTTTAATACTCGAATTCGATCTGATTTGATATTGTATAAAATCAAATCCGATTCGACCCGACTCGAAATTAATAAAATATTATTTTAAATAAAAATATAAAATTAAATATATATAAAAATATATATAATTAAATATAAAATTAAAAAAATAATTTTTTTATATATATCGGGTCGGGTAGGGTCGGGTTTGCTTAAAACTCGACCCCGACCCGAACCCGAAATTTTTTTACCCTACCCGACCCGATACCCGATTTTCAAAAAAAAAAAAAACCGACCCTAAGGGGTCGGGTCGGATCGAAACCCGACGGGTTCGGGTGATTTTACCCTCCCTAGTGCCAGCTCATATAAGACTAAGAGAGTTGGCATAAACTCATTAGTCTAAGAGTTATTCTGAAATATATTCGAATTATATCATTTTGGAAGTGATTTGATTTTAACTTAAAAGAATGGACTATTTGTTATAATGATTTATATTAGATGATTATATTATTTTATTTTTGAAGGTAATTTGATTTTTAATTTAAAGAATGAAAATTTTTTATTATTATAAAAAAGTAATTTTTAAATTAATTTTAACTAATTTATTGTGATGAAAAATTTAGTAATATTGTCTCAAGAAGCTGATCAGTAGAAATTTTTACAAAATTATTTTTTTATTACATATTTTAAAAATGTTTTTTTATAATTGAATAAATGTTTATTAATTAAAAATTAATGAATTTATTTAATTATTTTAGAAATTATTTTAATCAAAATTGATTTATATTTTGTAATTTTTTATAATATTTTATAAATTATTGATTCAATAAATATTTAATTTTTTTCTATTTTAAGGTTATTTTGATATTTTCTATCTCATGATTTTTTTTTTATATAACACCAAATACGATGATTTAAGATTAATAGTAATTTATAGCATTGCACCAAGCATGATAATTTAATATCATTGTATTAAACTTTGTGGTTATATGCAAAAACAAATTATGTATTTAGATATTTAAATATTTATAAAATTCAGTTTATCAATTTCAATTAATTTTTATTTCTTTCATTATTTTTTTGTTTAATTATAGTAATAAAAATTGAAAAAAATAAAAAAAAATAAATTCGTAACTTAATAGCATTTATAGTGAAAAATGCCATTAAATAAAATATTCTCGATGTTTGAAAGTGAAAAAAAAAATCACCACTTAAGACCTATTTTTTAGTAGTGATCATTGCTAATCAAATCATTTTAATAATTATTAACATAGTGATTAGATCACCATGAGAAATTTGAAAATGATAAGAAATGACACATACATTAAGCTGCTCGTTGGACTCTTCAAATGAAGGATGTGAAGGCCGAAAGTTGGTTACTTGGTTCATGGACAAGCTCAATGGGCTGGAGCTGGACTAAAGAGAATCATCTTGAGCTCAATGCAAGTAATGCAAATTCAGGCATGATATTTTTTTCCACAAGAAATGCAAACACCCTAGCAATGGCGGATACTATATATCAGTTATATCCCAAGTAGATCGCAAAAATCCAAGCATTATGAACCGTTCAAATTCTATTTCATCAATCTTTTTCACTTTTTTCAGATTTTCCGAAAAGATATTTTGATCAAGCTTCAATACTCCATTTCAGATATTTTCATGTCTCTCCATCCTAAAAAGGCTTAAATACCCCAAGTTGACACTCATCACTCCCCACAATATCTCCTTCGTTTACCACACAAAAGTACCCAAAAGATTTGACCACATTCAATGGCAGCCATGGCAACAACCCTCACCTCACTGTCTTCAAGCCCCAAACCATCTTTCTTAGACCACAAGTCATCCTTCCATGGCACCCCAATTGCTTCTCGCTTCACTCCCATTAAATCCTCCTCTCCAAACTCCACAATTTCCATGTCCTTAACTCCTCCTTATGACTTACAGTCCTTTAAATTTCAACCCATCAAAGAGTCCTATGTCGCTCGTGAAATGACACGCCGTTACATGATGGACATGATTACCTATGCTGACACTGATGTTATCATCGTTGGCGCCGGCTCTGCAGGTCTCTCTTGTGCTTACGAGATTAGCAAAAACCCCAACATATGTGTTGCCATAATTGAACAATCTGTTAGCCCTGGTGGAGGCGCATGGCTTGGTGGCCAACTATTTTCAGCTATGGTTGTCCGCAAACCAGCTCACAGATTCCTTGATGAGCTTGGCATCCCATATGATGAACAAGAGGACTACGTCGTGATCAAGCATGCAGCTTTGTTCACATCAACAATCATGAGCAAGCTTTTGGCCAGGCCTAACGTGAAGTTGTTCAACGCTGTTGCTGCTGAGGATTTGATAGTGAAGGGAAACAGAGTTGCCGGAGTGGTAACTAACTGGGCTTTGGTGTCTATGAACCATGACACACAATCTTGCATGGACCCAAATGTGATGGAGGCTAAGGTTGTGGTGAGTTCTTGCGGGCATGATGGACCTTTTGAAGCTACTGGAGTCAAGAGATTGAAGAGTATAGGGATGATTGATAGCGTCCCTGGAATGAAGGCACTGGATATGAATGCTGCAGAAGATGCAATTGTCAGGCTTACCAGGGAGATTGTGCCCGGTATGATTGTTACAGGAATGGAAGTTGCAGAGATCGATGGAGGCCCAAGAATGGTAAAATAGTGCTAGTCTTCGATTGACTTCTATTATTTTTGACTTCTCAAATTTCATTTAGTTATTTATGTGTTATAGTGATAAAATGGTGGTTTGATTTTGCAGGGTCCAACATTTGGAGCAATGATGATATCAGGGCAGAAGGCAGCACATTTAGCCTTGAAGGCATTGGGGCAGCCTAATGTAATAGATGGGACCTTCAGCGAAGCTGAAAGGGTACAGCCAGAGTTTGTTCTTGCTGCTGCTGAGACAGAGGGGACGGTGGGTGCTTGAAAATATTTGATAGGAAATTTGAGTTTTAGGGAATGGAGTAAAAAAGAAAGATGTGGATGAAAATAAGCCGGTTTGATAGGTTGATTATGGATAAAAGGTGGAATTCTGCTTTGATTTTTGGTTAAATTGAGTTACAATTAATGTTCATATAATAAAAATCTTGGTCTGAGATTTTATTATACTGCAAAGTCTGCATCTTCTTTCTTTGAGCTTTAAAGTGCATTAAAATAAAAGCACGTCCTACCTCTTATTAGTTGAAGTTTTCTAATGTATCTTAAAAGATAGAATTCAGTTGAAATTACTCCGGAATAAGTATTTTAAAATTTTTACTTTGTAAACATTTTTCAAAAATTATTTTTTATAATTTCAATGTAGCCTAATTTGAGAAAGCAAAAGTCTTATGTAATATTAAAGATGAATTTTTTTAATATTAAATAATGAATCCATATATAACATATTAGGTTAATGTTATGAATTACTTTTAAATTATAATAAAATATTTAATATGATATTTGAATTTTAAAAATTTTTAATATATTACTTAAAGTATAAATCTGTTAATTAAGGTAGTACCATATCTAACGTGACTAACTTCAAATAATAATACATGATAAACAAATAACTCTATAAATACTATATTGTTAACAGATTCATAGCTTAGATATCATATTAAAGATTTTTAAAATTCAAATATTAAATTAAATATTTTATTATAATTTAGAGATCATTCATGATATTAACTTTAATATATTTAGTAAGTTATTTCATTAAGTACAAATTAAAAAAAAAACTAACATAATATTATTTTCTTTAATTAAGTTGAATACAATGGTTTTTCATCTCATAAAAGTTATACAAAATAATCTTTGTTAAACCTCAAGCTTAATTTGATTAGGTTGAATTTAGATAGAAATTTTTAAACCTGAAATTGGTTTATTCTAAATACTATTTTAGTAAAATTTTTTATTTAATTTTAATTCTAAAATATATTTAAATATATAAATATAAAAATATTTTTAATGAGAAATTATCAAATATAATTAAAGTAAAATTTTTAAATTTTACAAACAAATTTAATAAAGTGACACATACCCCTTATAATATATTTTGAGTAAACGAGCTTTTAATAAATGGATGAAGCCAAACCTTAGGCAAGCCTTTTAAAGGTGTCAACCACGCCTAACTTGGACCCATGGGCACCTTTAATCTCTATATCTAATTTCTCAGTAATTTCTTTTCAATATAATCTTAAATGTAATTTTATAATTGTGATTTTATTATTGTGGGGCTGTAATTTGTTTAATTGTATATACAAAATTAATTTTCTTGATTTCTAAACAAGTTAAAAAGCAAAAACCCTAATTTTTGAATAGCAAGATATACAAAATTTATACAATAGCAATTAACAAATAATTTAAATTGTTAAAAACATTCATGTAAAGAGTAGACTAGAATAAAATCGATAATAATTTTTGAAGCGAAATTGAAGATTATCTGATTATTAAGATTTAAGAGGATTTTTTTTTCAAAAGTAATTTCTACATTACACTTGGAAAATTAGTTTTTTTTTTTTTTTTAATGTTTTTTACCTAGTAAAATAAGTTTTAAACTACTTAATAGGACAAATTTGTATTTACTTCTTGTTGAGTTAAAAAGAAACTCAATATAGATAAAAACATTATGTAATTTTAACTTTTTAACAAAAGTACTATGAAATATCAATAAAAATTTTATTAAAATTTTAGGGAGCTAAAATTATTGCTTTTCAACTTATAAAATCAAAATACCTATTTATATGATAGCATTTTAAGAACATTGTGGGAACTACAACTTTTTTTTTTTTTTTTTGTCTTTTCTTATGTTATAACTAGTTGCATTAGGCTTTTTTATATTCCTTCTCGAGAGCCATTGATATGGTTAAATTTTGTAATAGGATCTAATTTCTAATCCATATGATAATTTGAATTAATCAAGTAGCAAATAATAGAAAAATAACATCAAATCTATGTGAAAACAAATTCTTTAACGTAAAATATAAAGGAAAAAACATAGGAAAAACCAACGATAAATATATCATGAATAATGATACAATGTTTGCTCCTATGTTACTCATATAATCCTTTTAATATAATTTCTTGTGTTTATATTTTAATGAATGAGCTCCTCTAAATCACATAGTAGTTCTTGAATAATTGGATGAAGTGTTTGATCATTGTCTATGTAGTTTTTCCTCAAATTCACAATATTCTTGGTAGATTTTTTATCATATCTATTGGCGAGAAAACGTTTATGTATTATGGGTATTATGCTTTTTAAGCAAATATTTTAACTTATTATTATATTTTGGAGTTGATAAAAACCTTTTGCATTTGTTGGCAATATTGGATTGTTATTAATTACTTGAGGGTAATTATTCCAAAGCTAAATATATCACTTTTTTTATCTGCTTTTTGTTATAATTCACATATTGGATTTTGTTTGCTCTACTATTATAATTCACATATTATATTTAATTATTAAAAGCTTTGCATACTTTTCAATATATTCATTAATGCACTACATGTTCAAAACTATAACTATTTAAGTTTTCAGTAATGTTTTCTCTATAAGTACTAATTATGATAGATAAGGCGCACAAAAAATGTGATGTGTTTAGGTTTGGGATAGTCATACTTCAAGTAATAATGAAGTTGAAGGATGTCAACAATTCACCATCAGATAAAAAATCAAAACACAATGTGGAAAATATAAAGAATAGGCTACAATATTTAGAGAAAAAAATAATCATGCATAAAAGTTTTGTATATCGTGGATTTATTACTTTGATAGTTTCCAATACAACTTTTCATTGTAAAATGTTTCTAAACGAAATTTCGAGAATTTCTTGCAGCATACCTTAAATTAAACTTAAACAAAGCATATAACTGCAACCATTGGTGATTAACTCAAAGTCAAGTATGATATGGTAAAATCTAATAGAATTTAGAGAAATATAGATATATTATATTTTCTTCAAATATTACCATTTATCTAAATAACCTAAAAGTTGTATACACTCTACTTTAAAACTAATATACTTGGATATCCTTCTGGAAACACTTGAGAAAAAGTTCTGAAATAAATTATTTAAATAGTTTTTTACAACAATCAACAAACCAAGTATTTTCATATAAAATGATTGATTTATACATTATTCTATCATGTTTATCTCCTTGAAGACTACCTACATAAAAAATGATCAACACATAAGATAATGTTAGTGTTAACTCATTATGCCTATGCATACATACATGCATTCATCAACTGGGAATGGGACGTTGGTGTTAATTTGTTCGTCTGTTTTTCATGAACACCATATTATTCTATTGTTTCTTAGCTACCATAATTCATAATTTTAAGCTTTTTTTTTTTTTTTGCAGGAAATGTTTGCATTTAGTCATTGTACAACCTGTAAAACTCCTTATCATTAAAGGGTTTATGTTACAACTAATAGAAAATGGCCAACCTTAAAATTCTGATATATCTAAAAAAATCAATTACAAAAAAAATAAAAAAGAGAAATCCTACAATAAGAACAAGTTTGCTTTTTAGCAAAAAATATTAAATATCTTATTTCTATATCACTATTGCACATGATTAATTTGTTATTCAGAATACTACAAAACTATGAAACAACTCTAACCATGAAGAATTTTATGAAAAAATACAACACCTATACACCATTTTAACAATAAAACCCAACTCTTTAACTTTTTCAAAATCAAACACAAATCATAAACCAACTTCCTCATCAAAACTCCATCATACATCACAACAACAAAAACAAATTAAAACAACTCTAACATTTAACATACTATATATCAAAACAGTTTATATAATTTTGTTACATATCAAAACAGTTTATACAACTCTGTTACATGTCTTAAAACAAACAAAATCAAATAAACAATAAAAATAACAACAATAGCAACAGCTTAACACAATACAACTCTATTTTACATAAAATTATAAAATTATAACAAAAATAAAAACATATTAATATACACTAAAAAACAGCAACAAAAAAAAAAGTAAAGAATAACAAAATCTCAACTTCAATTTTCACTATAAAAATAAAAATAAAAACTATATAAAACAAAACCTATAAAAGTTATCTAATACTATGAACTAATTTTATGGTAACTTTGCCTCTCTTAACACAGACAAACATACAAATATATAACCAACACTAAAGCATCAACTGTTTTTAACAACATATTGATCTATTAGATATGTAATGCAAATACAAAGTTTATTAAAGTTTGTAAGTAAAATAAAATATTCATTTAAAACATACTAAAACTGAAGCCATAAATAGCTATCAAAGCTTTATTGACCATGATTATACCTACGGATGTTACAACATTGAAAAACCTTGAAGTTATATCTAGAGTTACTTTTGTATCAACCTTGCTTACTAATAACATTTTTAATTATAGCCTTAAATTTATCAAGCAGAGTCTTTCCTTGTCAATTTTCATGTGAGTAAATATTAAGTTTTAGCGTCACCAATTACCAAAGTAAATATCAAACCTACATAATTAAAAAAAAATAATTCAAGTAAAACACATTTCACAAAAAAAATAAAATACACTCCAATAAAAATTGATTTAATCATACAAACAATCAAACACTCACCAATATCCAAATGATAATCAAAGCATGATGGAATTTAGGAATAATATAAAACCTTTTATAACAAAAAATGGCTCATATCCAATTGAACAATAATTTAAAAAAATCAAACCAAATACCAACATAAAAAAAAATCAACGTAAAAAATAAATACAATAACCTCAATGAAAACATGAAAACAAAAATAATACATGAAAACATAAACAATTAATCGAACAAAATCTACCAACAAAGAATAGAAACAACAATTTCAAAACAACAACAACAAACTATCAACAAAAAACAAACCATCTAACAAAAATATCGAAAAAAAAAAAAGAAACAAAAGAGAGGAAAAACAATAGAAACTTACCTTGACAAAAAAAAAAGTAAATACATTGCAAAACATTAAGAAAAAGAAAAAATGGAAGTAAAGAACAAAGCCACTCATATGCTTATAACCAACATTCCTTCCAAAATGAACTATTTAATTTTTTTTATTATATCCCTAACGTTGGCAACAAAAACACATTAAGGGGACTATTTTTAATGTAAGTAATATATAGTAAAACCTTGCGCTTCATCGTGAAAAATTAAAATTTTACAT